GAAATAAAAATTGTAGCAAACCAATCAAAAGTTTTTTTACCATATTATGTAGTATGAGTGTTATATGGATGTTATCGTAAAAAAACCATAATCGTTTTGTCGCTGTACTTAGTACTTAATCACTTTTACATTTAATAATCACAGCTTTAATTAAAAACAATCTTAAAACAGAATAAGCAAATTAAAGCAAACTAAAGTTATAAAAATGTTCATAATTTTTTTGAACCAATTATAATAATCATTATAAGGTTTTAAAGATACTTCTTCTATATTTATATCGTTCTTTGGTTGGGTCGTATTTTTTCACAATGTCCTGGTTTGCTCGATAATGTTTGCCTCATTCCAATTATGAGTCTTGTACGTAGTTTCATACTTATAAATATCACAGCCCTACATAAATTTTATAGCTCTAATATCAGTCGTTTCAATTCATTTTGTAATTTTCCAATTTTGCTTTCTCATCGACAGATGCATTTTTATCGGCTTCATAATCATCACAGTTATCTTTTTTTGTAATAAAAAATCCAAAATTGAATTCTGTGTTAAAAATTCGAGCAAAAGCATCGTAAAAAGCTTCAGGTTTATTTTCCTGATGCTTTGTCTTTGAATATTGTCTATGAATTTCTGCTAACATATCCTAAAATATATCTTATAAATCTCCCTCCACAAATAGTGTACTAGTCAAATACTAGTCTCTCAAATAATTACTCTCTATCTTTGGGATCGAGTTAATAATATCTCTTACAGATTGCTTTATTTTATCGTCCAATCTGTCCAATCATCTCCTTCATCTTTATGCTCGCATTCTATAACTGTACGTAACATTCTCTCAGTTATACTTAAAGTATTCATAAAAAAAAAACTTGTAAACTCTTATTTCACTTCCTTCATTGTACAAATAAAAAGCTGTGTTTGGTTTCCATGGATTAATTTTACGAGATTCTTTTATTCTACGATAGGGTAGCTTTAGACGTCTAACACAAGATCCCAAATAATCTCTCTGTCTTTGTAAGTGGCCTAGCTGCCAATAAGCATCAAATAGCTTAGTTCTCTTTTCTGTCGAAAATTTTGATTAGCAAGACAGCCTACATTTATCTGAACAAGTCGGCCCTATTATTCTAGCTGTTTTTACCACAGTTACCAGTTGTTAAGGAAGTATATTGCTGACCAGAATTTTTCAACGCTTTGGCAACATTTTTTTTCGATCGCTAGTACGTTTTCTACAACGTTTCATGGTCGATGGTCTGGACTCTTGGTTTATATTTCCAGTGTTAAGCGTTTCGTTGGCAGTTTATGATGAAGAAAAACTTTTTGAGCTGCTGCTACTATCATCAGTTCCAGAAAAGTCATGACCAGACGAGTATTCACCCTAGGAAATTCTAATGGGCTAAAATAAGTTTTAAGAAATTAATTAAACTACGTAAAAATAATAATACAAACCAAAACAAATATCAAATTATTCTGAATTAGAAAATCTTAACACCTAATTAATTAATTAATTAATACCTTAATATATTATTATTACCTTAATTACCTAATTTGGTCATCACGGATGTTTGAAGATTCAACGGCATTTCTAAAGGTTTTGTTAAATCACCATCATAAGAGTTTAAAAAGGAAGGAGAACTCGGATCTGTCGATAATGCTAAATGAAAAATGGAAGAAAAATTAATTACGGATATACCTACAGAAAAAAAGTTATAAGTAATTAATTAAAGACATAAAAACTTACTTGGCTTTATATCACTGACTTATCATTCGTTATGGCTTTCTTTGTTTTTCAATTAAACTTCCAACTTCCAACCGCACTAATTTTTCACATCACCTTCGATAATTTTGTTTTAGCTAAACATAAAAATAAAACGTATTACATGTTGACAATTTCGAATTACAGCGGAATAAAATAGATCTGGACTGGATTAATTATACTATATCCTAAAATGACAACGGTTGCTGCTTGTAATCCATACTAATATTATAAAGTTTGTTTGTTTGTTTGAACGCGCTAATCTCAGGAACTACTAGTCCGATTTGAAAAATTATTTCAGTGTTAGATAGCCCATTTATCGAGGAAGGTTATAGGCTATATATCATCACTCTAAGACCAATAGGAGCGGAGCACCAATGAAGAATGTTTCAAAAACGGAGAAAATTTATTACTATTGAGAGACGAAGACGAAGTTGCGCGGGTCAGCTAGTAGAAAATAGAAGCACAAAGTCAAAACTGTATTTATGTCATTCTTACCCCAAAACTGTATTAAATATTCTTCTGTTTCTACACACAAATATTCCCTGTGGGGAGACGCGAACAACTGCCCAATTAAAACGTTCTCGCACTAGCGTATTCAAAAACCCGCCAAAACCACAATGACATTAAAATTTACGCCCTTAGTGGGTCATTTTAAGTGTGTGTTACATTTTTGATATTGCTGCACCGGATGAAGATGCATGTGTGACATCATTTGTGATCAAGAACTCATTTAGAACCAATATATATAATATATACGAGTATTGATAAACCTTTCATATACAATAAGTTCGTTAACTTCTAAGAAATTGTTAGAGAAAATAAATAAATAGCGTTATCATAGAATAATGAAAATAATTAAACACATTTTTTGTATTTATAAAGGATTATAATAGAACTATACCAGTCACTTTTATTTAAGTAAAAATGAAAAGGCCATTCTATAAATATTTTACAGAAATGTGAATTCATTATCCAGGGGTACTGAGTATATACTTGTTTATATACCACGAATAGGCATATATTATTTAGTAACTGACCCGCGCATCTCTCAAAAGGAATAAATTTGCCCTGTTTTTGTATCATTTTTTATGAATGCTCTACTTGTATTGTATAGCCTATAACCTTCCTTGATATCTATCTTTCTATCACTATCTTATCATCCAATACTAAAATATTTTTTAATTCGAGCTTGTAGTTCCTGTAGTACTTGATCATTATTTGGTTGCCGAGGTATTTTAAAACTATGATATCTCTTAAGATATTTATTAAGATTAAATGGGTTGAAGGGCAATTTTATGAATATTGTATTTATTTTGATATGGATTAATATTGTTTATAAAAACACCTTTGCAAACAATGCATTATTTTAGAACAAATTTGATTAGCATAAAAAAGGTGATAGTGAGCCTACCTTCAAATATAGACATATATTGATGCAAACGATTTTTAAGACTTTTAAAAGGGAACTATTCTGTCTAGCATGATTATTGCGATAAATGGATAACCAATTAATATTAATTAATATTTTTTCAAATCGGACAATATGTAGTTCTTAAGATTAACGCGTTTAATCGAACAAACAAACTCTTCAGGTTTATATATTTCAGGTTTATACGTTAAGGGTTACATCATGTGTTATTTTGAATTATTATACTTCTTTTTTAAGTAAAGGGCATAAACATTAAATTTTCAAGCTCTTGATGTACAAAGATAAAATGTGCAACGTTTCATATAAATACAAAAAAAAAATTGGAGGGAAAAGCTTAGTGAAAATAAACCATTTAAAATTGGACATCCCTAAAGTACTTAATTAGTATGTCAGGTGCAACCAACCTCCAGCGGTTGAATAGAATAATTCTATTTAATAATTTGTTCTTTTGTTTGTCATACAATTGTTTCGGTAACAAAACTTACTGTAGCATTAATTAAGGTATATTTTGCAGTTGTCACGTTGTTTACTAATTGTGTAGATGCGAGTACAATGAATTCGCTTTTGTCTAAACCTGGAAAATTAGTTTTCATATTAAACTGTTTAATGAACTAGTAAAGGAAAAAAAAACACTCTGTCTCTCTCTAAGTCTCTACTGGTTATTTTGACGAAGACATGGACAAAGTAAAAAAGTATCACAATTTTATATGATTCATAGTTGAAAAAAAAAATTACGTTCAAAAAGTAATATATGAAATAAACGCCTAATGTTAGAGATACTAATGGTTCGCGTGTTACGAACACCTCAACAATTTGACTTTGAGTTAACCTCGGTCATTGTCTCTTTAGGGCAGCCGCTAGTTACTTAGAATAAGACAAGTAGGCAAATGTCCTTATACGCCTACATTTTACTTATGTAATAAAAGAAAACCCTTATGACGTCAATCGGGTGTTTTAGAACACTGGTAGATAGATAAAAAGGGAAGGCAATATCAGGATAGCGATATAGCTTACCACATCACATCGACAGCCTTTAATAGACCACTGCTGGACATAGGCCTCTCCTTACCAAAAGAGGTTTTGGTCTAGTATACCACGCTAGCCAGACGGGTTGGTATAGGGTTTGGTGTCAAGTTTTCCATCTCTTTGCGGTGCTGTTGTCCTGCGTTGTTTGTTCCTTTACGACACCCACAGTATTAAAAGGGGAATGACACTCCGTATTCTTAATCCGTAACCACACGGATAATATAGGTTATATATAGTTGAATATTAAAGCTGTTGACTGACTGCACGAATGGCGTAGTGGTTTAAGCGGTCACCTCGCCGCTTCCTTCTGCGCTGGGTATTGTGGGTTCAATCAACACATGGGACAACATTTTGTGTGATCCATAAATTGTTGTTCTCAGTCTGGGTGTCCTTTGTATCTGTTTTATGTGAGTTTGGAAAGTCCCCCGCGACACAGAATTTACTCCTGGTGAGGGAGTTGACTTTTATAAATATAAGATAGAGAAATCTTGTCCAAGACGTCATAGTTGTAGTCTGTTTTTAATCCCCAATGCAAAAAGATGGGCGATTTAAGTTATGATACGGTTTTTGTAAGCTAAGCTAGCTGCTAAGCTTTAAGCTAGAGGTTACTGCAACATTAGGAACTTAAATGAAATGTTACAGAAAATAAACACCACAATTATTTAACTAAAACTTTTAATACAATACGAGTATGTACAAATCTAGTCTTTTACGTTTCATACAAAGTGATTTACTATTTGTTAAAAAATATACATTTTTCATGTTATATTCATCATTATATGTACAATGTTTATGCTACTTCTTCGAAGGCAAAAATAAAGCCAGAAATGTGACACCTGAAAGAAAAAATCATAATCATTAGATCAAATCAAATTTTACTTAAAAACTCATTTTGGTAAGTTTGTCCGAGTTCTAAGTCAGTCTAACTTACCAGCTTACTTTCAACTTTGCTTAATTTTTTTATATTATTATTAACAAACATTGATCATAAATGCTCGTGCCTGACGAAACGTGTTATAAATATCTTGTATGAAAAAAAACAGTAATAGATAAAGATTTATTTTAGTTTAACTATTACTTTTATGTTTGTCAATAAAAGATGGCGTTTGTGTGTGATAGCGTTTTAGGTTTTCTTCATACGGATTATTACAGAAATATGAGGCAATATTTTTGCCACCCTGTGAGTAGCCAACAAATAGTCCATCTACCTTGAAAGAAAGAATCTGAAAAATATCAGATTCTTTCTTTCTTTCATATTTTCTTTCTTTCTATTATACCTATATAATAGATACTTCTACCATAGAAATATTATTAACAATATACTTCAAATTTTCAGATCCGTTTATTTTATTTATTTATTATTATAGGTGAAGTTAATGCCACAAGCATTCTCTGTCAGTATAAATGAATGTGGTGTAGATATGAGTGATTAGGTACACTACAGTTAAATAGGACAGTCTAAACTAATTTAAAAAAACTCGACACCATAGACTATAGATTTTTTGTCTACACAAAAAAAAAACAAATTTGTTTTTTTTGTAGCTTTTTTATGCAGACGATTTAAAAAATACTCTAAATTCGATCAACATCCTTCTTGCGTAAGCGAAATTTTATTAATGTAAGCCTTTTTTCATACAAAACATTATCTTCATCAGTCAATTATAAAATATCAAAAACCAACGACTTTTGTTAAAATTTAACGCTGTTATGTACGTATGCACAAGCGTATAAGTGTTTCAATAAACATAATTTACAAAAGTTCACATGTATAGTCAGAAATATACGTAGGTACGATTACGACATTTCTTCATTTCTAAAATTATATAAGTGTTCTCTCATTTCATCTTCAAAGACCTAAACAGAAAGTTTTACGAGAGCAGAAGTCAAATACAATTACTTTTGCACGCACGAGGCTTCGCATGGATTCGCAAGGTAAAAATATAGCTCATAAAACTTTTTATTGTCTTTTGCATAAGGTAATGGAACAGATTATCAGTAAAAAAGGTAAAATATGCCTATAAATAGGTACTCTACTCTTTATTGGACAGTATGAATAAGGTACATACTGTACAGGCTATTAAAAAAACCAGTAAGTATATGATTTAATTTGCAGTCTAAAACAAATCGTCGTTATAAATTTTCTTTTCTCATAATTAGTGATAATGCTCTGTACTTTTGTTTCATACATACAAAACACAATACACAACATATTTGACATGTAATGAAACTTACTGTTCGATATTTAATGAACTTGCAGATGACACTACAGCAACATTTTAAAAGCAGAATTAATGATAAATGATATTTATACCTGTAAGTAATTCTGTTCAGATATTTTTAAAAGTCTGGATTAAGTTGGGAAGGAACGCCGAAACAAACCAGTGGAGTATTTTTTTTTTAGTCCGTAAACAATGTTAAAGAAACCTATGCAAATGAATTATAGGATCTGGGTTGGCCTTTTGAAGAAAAAACCACTGTTTTGAGCAAACAGACTGCATACTGCCCCACTTAAAATACCACCAGATAGCTACTAAATATGAACTAACATTACAAGCCTAAACCATACTCCCATTTAAAATATTGCAAAACAGAAAATTAGTTTGAAATAATACTTACAAACCATGAGCCCTGATATTGTGTAGAAAGGAACTTCACAACCAATGTTCAGGAGTATAGGAAAAGCTACATTTCCACTTAAAGTACCGATACGACCCCAGAACATCATCAAAGATACTGCAAATGTCCTGAAAGTATGATAATATTGATTAAATTATACCGAATATTCAAGCATTTTACTAAACAGTGTACGACACAGGCTCATTACAATATTCATTGTTAATATTTCACTGCAATAATGAAAACACAATACTACATACATAAAACTAAACTAAACTACATAAAACTACAAGAAAATATTTGGGCACAGACTTGTTCTTACACAAAAGAATCTTATACAGTACGCTAATGTATAAAATTAGCGTATTGTATAAAACACAGCTTCTTATCTTAGAAGTCGGAAGTATCTCATTAAATTTGACTCATGCATTTAGTGTTTTTTTCTATGAGAATCGTAAAATAACTATCTACTTTTGCCTATTTAAGGTTATTATGTCACTTTATATTAATTATGATGTACTAACTGAACTATAACATAAAAACATAAACTAATTTGGGTATTGACCTTCAAAAACTTTATTTCCGATCTATAAATCTAAAATATTTATTCATTCATTTAGGATAAGGCAGCACGCTAGAGCTTAGAGTGGTAAATAAAACTAGCTACTAATAGAAGGTCATTTCTCGTAATAAAAATTCCTTTACAATTCAATTCCGAACTCACAAATGATATAAAAGGTATTCTCGTAGTAAAGTATTATCTACTAAGACTAGATTAATACTGATTCAACTTTATCTCAGTCACAATGCGATAAAATCACATTACAGCCAACTTTTGATATTTAATACTTTACTACGAGAATACCGTTCATGACATTTTTGAGATCGAGAGTAGATCGAAAGTGAGTTGAATGAAATTTATTACAAGAATTGACCGTCTGACGTCAATAAATAATGTTGTTACCAAGGCTGATAGCTAAGACATATTTACAACCTCAACAAAAATCCAGAATTTTGTCTCATATATATCTACCTAACCAAGCATAATCATTTTTACCAAAATACACACATTATGATAATTTACATTCTAATTACATATTTTGAAAAACATATATTAGATTAACTATATCAAAATATCCTGTACATCACAGAATTATAATTGGTCTTAGTTGGGAATCGAATCCACGATCTCTAGCTTAGGAGTCAAAGTCACTAGACTACCGGTTAGTCAAGCAAATAATTTGTAATTTCTTATTTACAATAATGTGTATTTCTATATGCGGCTGAAAGGTATTGCTAAATGTAACTGACTGATACTAGAGAAGGAAAATATTATATAATTGTATCTGTATATAACTTCAAATGCAAAAAGCTTCAGACTAACCAAATGTGACAAGCCTATTGTCAATCTTAGTGTGAAATAAGAAACAATGGGTGGAGATATCTATTGGCCCTTTGTTGAGTCGTGAAGCGTCGGCTCAATAGGCTTCAATGTTCTCAAAATAGACTATATAGGGCAGATAGCATCAGTACTGTCGGTGTTCAACGGTTCCTCGAATTTCGATGTAAATATTTATTTCGGAATACTCGAGAAACCGTATCAATATCAATTTTGAACAATTTCATAAATTATTGATGGTGTCAGACATATATAATATTTGATGGAGTTGATTCTGTGAGCTATAAAGTTATTATGGCCTAATATTTCTGCGTAACGTATTCTTTGCTTTAGATACAAGCTTTTCGAAGTTTTTTTTCAATGTAATATTTTAAACTTTTTTTTTTTCGTGGCACCCTGGCGTTGGCTCCTTGCGGATCAGACACAGGTGATCTCCGAAACATCCTTTCCCAGTGATCACCTGCGTCAGTCGGTATGAGAGGGTCCCGTGACGCCTCTCGAGCCAATCCTCCATAACGGGTCTTACCGCCGCGATGACGCTAAACATTTGTAAATACAGATTTGGTAAGAAAAGAAATACTTAAATATTAAAAAGGTGGATTTTTTTACAGAGTAGGCAGCAAACGAGCAGTCGCGCTACTTGAAAATAAGTGCCTACCACCACCTAAGGACACCTGTAACTCAAGAGGCGCAGGTTAAGCCGCCCGTTTAGCCCCTGGCGGTAGTCACTCGCTACCTACTACGCTGAGTGTTGTGGGTTCGATCCCCACATCGGACGACACTTTGTGTGATCTACAAATTGTTGTTCTGAGTCTGAGTGTTCTTTGTGTCCGTTTCATGTATGATTTGTAAAGTCACCCACGACACAGGATTTATTCCTAATGCGGAGTTGTCTCTTAAAAACAAAACAAAACAAATATATACATAAACACTTACTTCCCCAAAAGGTTCTCGTTTAAATTTGTTCGTAAATAGAATCAGTGACATTAAGTCATTTTGTTATTTATAATAGACGCAGAAATTCGCTTTCGAATTAAGAAATAACTTCTTCCTCCGGACAGAATCCCTTTTAATTATCTTAGTGAGTAATTTATACTGAATCCCTATTATTTATTATGCTTATTAAAAACGGATTGTAATGTTTGATGATAAAGATAAATCAAATATAAACATTGAATTAGATATTTGAAATTATGTTTCAAATGTTATTTATGAGTATTTTGAGAAATGTAATTATGAGTTTGAAGAGAGTAATTACACATTTTGCTTTACGGAAAATTGAACCTAATTATTTTATTTGAAAGAATTAATTTTGAAAAGATTTTTATATAATATAGAAATATTGTTTATAAGATTTAAACTGTAATCTTTTGATGAGTTCATTTATGTATATTTGCACATAATTGTTCCTAATTTTCGGCCTAACTTTTACGTTTACTACGCTATTCGTAACTTTGTGTAGAACAATTATTTCGGGTAGTGTATCTAAGCTTTCATCAATCGATGTAAAAATTTTCAAATAGTGAAAGAAAAATCTAGGTTATAATTATTAATTGCCATAACTTACAAAATGATTTTCGTTTTCAAAAATCAAATTCGGCTACAGTTTTCATGTTGATTTTGAAACAGTTTGACTGTTAAAAATATCTAAACTTTATTGCAATTGCAAAATGATTTTTTTATATTTTTCAATTTTTAGACATGTTTTTAAATGGAAGCTGTATTGTTTTATTATTTCATTAAAAAGTAGACGTCAAAACGAAAAAAATGAGCCCTGTATGACCTCTCTACGATGATTGTAAGTAGTAAAACGTAACTTTGAAAACAACGTGTCTCGGACCGAAATAAATGAATCTTTCAAACAGGTTTTAATATTTCAATCTAAAATTTTGTTTTTGTTGTTTGGGATACAAAAGGAGTACTTTCAGCAAGTTTGGTTTAAAAATATTTATTTTTGAGAAATTGACAAGTAAAAAACAAAAAACAAATTTTTTTTTGATTGATTGCATTTTTTTGTGAAATTTTGAGGTTATATTAAAAAATGACCCATACAAAAGTTGTAGATTTTTCCAAGATCTACAACTTTTGTATTTAACATTTTTCAGTGGGACATCAAATTTCGCGTGAAATTGCAAAAAACAGGAGATATATCCATTTTCACCCCTTTTCAACCCCTAAAATCATCCCCTAACTTTCTTGGGCACATAACTCATTTTCCTTATGTTGACTTTAACCCTTTTAACCATTTAAAACGTAGGTTTCTGGATAACATTTTTTTGTTCTCCATATGCAACGTGCCTGGAATAATAAGTAACACCTGTACACAAATGATAAATGAATCTTAAGGAGTAATAATTGATATCGGTTTTACCTTACATTTGAAATCGTTTAAGTCGTCTACCAAATCTTATCTGGTAATAGATCTTTTTGCTAACTTATTTTTTTTTATATTCTACTTTACGTGATTAAATTCATACCATCATTTATGGCAGCGGCTCCGCCCGCCTGTATGTTGGTTACTGCGGTAAAAAGTAGCCTATGTTAGTATCTGATAATGTAAGTTCCATTGGTGAAAGATATTTTGAAATTGATTTAGTGGTTTAGGTGTCAAAACGTAAAAAACAAACAAACTCACTTTTACATTAAAATATACGTATGGAAGTATGGGTGTATAAATTGAAATCACGATTATTATGGAGTTATATGACACTCTATCCTTCAATAGCCAGTTTAAGTAATAGGTATTGAAAACTGCTCGAGCCATTGGTTTTATACCCCAATCTATGCATGAAAGCAATATTCCTTTCTTTTCTAAATACTCCCTAACCTATCTAATCCTTAAAGAGGCCGGTTTATTGTAGTATGTTTGCCTAGTATTGCGTAATTGGGATTAGAAATAACAATTGGCAAAATGTTAGCTTTTAATACATCTCTGCATAGTAAACACATGTGTATATGATGTAAGTTTGAACATTAAACAGTGAAATGAAATTAACTGTTATTCAGTAAATATATCGATTAACACACAAACAATAAAATAACATGACGTACCTGGTCGTTGTTCCAAAGACTTCAACAGTCAAGGCTTGATTCAAACTTAACATAATTTGAGAGACAGCTATGGTTACTGAAAATAGGGAAACTATAGCAACTATGCTGTTAGCCCATCGGAGGCACATAGTACCAGTCACTGATAATACCCCAGCTGCCATTAGTAGTCTTTTCTTTCCGACTCTATTTACTAGTACACCCGTTATTAAATAAGGTACTAAACAAGCAAATCCAACTATGATGCTGTTTATGTAGGTCTCGTTACCACTCCTTGTCTGCAAAGAAATACGTAAATAAATTTTACAATATCACTTTGACTGTCCTGCTGCTCTAGTGGATAATGACCCTGACTGCTAAACCAGCGACTGTGGGTTTGATTCCCAACCAGGACAAATAATTGGGTGATGAGCACGATTATTTTGTTATGTGTCTTGGTGTAATTTATCTATAATATCAATGTATTTAGGAGAATATATGAATGTTTATCAGAAGTTTGGTTACTATAGAACAGGCTCCGCCTATGATATGTATGAAATTATTATTAGTATTGTTAATAAAAGCTACAATGACAGATCAAGATTATGTGAATAGTGTTCCAAGAAGCGATCTCTTTCAAATAATAATAATTAAGAAGACAGCTCATTGTACGTTTCTGAGGAGTAGGTACTTGGCATGCTTAATGGTAGGTGCACTCGCAGTCGCAGTGGTGTCTCGAGTGCATTGTCAATTTAATTAACCTTCCCGTGGAGTTTTATGGAGGTTTTTGTCAAGATATAATACAGCTAAACGATAGTTTTGATGTCATATCATGTTTGGCAAATATTAGAAGTTTAAAAAAAGACTTTTACAAATACTTTTTTCCAAATCTAAACATTTTATCATTTAATAAATATTAACAACATGTGCTGTTAAGATTGTAAGATGATTAAGTGAGAATTTAAAATAAGAAAAACAGAATGATAACGTAACTATCGACATCACGCATTGAAAGTTCTCGTACCGATAAAATAAGTGGTTAATTGCCCAACATTAATCAAACCACGGTCTACCTGACACCCATCCTGATTGGAGGATGCTTCATGTGTGTCACCCATTTACCTCAACATTGCACTATTAATAGTTGAAAGTTTAAATTTTATCGGTTTTGAAAAAAAACCTTTTCAAAAACTAACTGACAAGGTTTAAAAATTTAAAAAAGTTGGTTATATGAGCTAAATGTTGTATGGGTCTAGGTTTTATTAACTAAAAGCTTATTTCAGCGACGGTTTCCAACTAAAAATATATGAAGACTTAGTACTTTTGGGAATAGACTAAAATAGTCTAGACAACAATAGTAATTATACTTAAACATTTGTCTATTATGACTTTCTCAGTATTTTATTTTTAAATATTTTTGCTAAGTGAAAAATTAAGCAATCTCGAGTCTCTCCGATTACGAAAAGCTTCTGGCAAATTTCATACAGTCAGTAAGAGATTTGCCAGAACCTTTTCTAAAAAACATATAGGACTTGCGTTTGAGCACAGTTTTGTTTGAGTTTTTATGGCATCCCATCCTCAACTCCCCTTTTCTTTAACTCTATGGGGGCGAGGGCACACAAAGGTTTGTAATGCACTGTATCTCTTGAGTAGCAGGTGTTCAAAGACAACTTGAGTTACTTACTGTCAGGTTATGATTATATTAAATAAAAACAGTGGCACGACGGGAGTGCCGACAGAAGTAAAAACTTATATACAGAGGTGTCGGTAACAGTAACAGTGTCGCGAGTTAATTGGTTTTTCCTATCTCAAAAAATGCCCAACGCACCTAAAGAAGTTTTCACTTCAAAAACTCCTACTCAATTTGCTAGTATAACAAAATCTAACCTTATTGTTTTCTAACCACTGTGTTCAATGTTTTGATGGATCAATCTAAAAATATATTTAGAGAGGGCATCCATCACTTACCTCTCGCAAACCCCAAATAAATTGGAAGAAATGTAGCGGAAACTAAACGCCTAACCCCTCAGTTTTTGATAATAGTTTGCCTGCCAGGTATAACGGGTATTTCAACCCCTAATCATGTATGCTGAAAGTTATTTGATTTATTCGATTTGCGTCATGTAATACCTAATTAAGCGTTCTATTTATATCCCATTAAGCTTATTAATGATACATGTTTCAATTAGTGTATAAATGGAATAATAATAACTTGAGATATAATACAATCGCTATCTAGACTTTAATGAAACAGAATTGTTATTACGGACTGTATGTGTGTGACGAATAATATATTCATGCACAAGTCAAACAGCAGACAGGAATTGAGTTTAGAGTTGAAAGTTATTTAGATTAAACAAATATGTTTTTTCTGAATCATTAAATGTTGTTAAATTTAAGGCACAATTTGTTGTCACATCTAAAATGTCATCCATATTCAATTCAATGTTTTTAATGTTTCGACATCTTTGAATCAACATTTAATTAATAATAATAAAAATAACTCCATACAGCTCACACACGCCAGTCTGATCCCAAATTAGGCAGAGCCTGTGCTATGGTAAGCAGACCGCTGATAAACATGCTAATAAATTTCTAAATATCGTCGGCTTATTGCAAGAAGTCATTATGTGACATATTCATTATTTAGGGAAAACGGCATTTTAGTTGGAGTTAGTTAGTGGTTATGTTAATTAGCCCATATTATCCTTAATACATAAGCTAGAAATTAGTGTGTTTTTGCATTTTGTAGAATATGTAAAAATGTGCCCATTGTTGATAAAAACGTATTTTGTGATTTTTTGCAGTTAATGAGTTCTTGCAATAAGCCGACGATATATACATATTATGGATAAATTACACTTAGACACAAAACAAATGAATGTGCTAATCACATAATATTTGTCCTGAGTGGGAATCGAATTAAAAGTATTTCATATAAAATGTACCACGCTTATAGTTTTGATGTTTAATTAAAAGATACTGATTTGACTTGACAGCCATATACCCTGTTTGCGTTTCAGAGCATTGATTTGAAATGAGGTTCCTTTCGTGTTCAAAATTAAGAATTTGTAGGTATGTCATGCATAGATCTTCTTTCATTGCCTAGATCCCTAATAAATTTGTGTCACGTTTTTGACGGCGCATTTTTAATTTCGACAAACGAGGTGAGAATAAATTAATAATGAGATCTCAAATATAATATTAAATAAGAAAATGTTCTGAGAAGTTGATCTCATTTTCAATACATGTGTATAGAAATAAACCTAGTATGATAGAGAAATCTAAGCTAGATTCTCAGAATTCTAAAATAGAAAATGCCAGGCTGTCTAATTTAATCATCATAAATTATATATCTATGATATGAATGTGTAAATATGATATACCTAGTTAAAATTATATCTATCTATACATATACATTTCTATACACATATTATATAGGTTTATATACATATATTAGTGAAGCTCATCACTTGTAAAAGCAATTTGTAGAACAAAGTATCGTCTGCAGTATTTCCGAACCGATACGACCTTCAAATATTCAAGAAAGGAGCTTACTCCTTGCTCCAAGGTTGACAATGCGCTTATGACTCCTGAGTTACAGGCGTTCATGGGCGGTGGTAGTCACCTTCCACCAGGTAACCCGTCTGCTCGTTTGCCCGCTTCATCTAAAATGTAAAGATCTATTTCAATACGGAGCTCGGTGGGCAATTTAAAAACGGTCCAGTTTTTACTAGCTTATAGAATATCTTTTTTAATTCGGTCTATAACATGAACAAACAGATTTTAGTAAAACATTTTTATTATTATATTCATTAGAATTACCCATATCTTCTACTTATCGAATTTCTTGTTACTTACTGTATGGCATACAAGTCGTTGGATTTAAGGTTTCATCCATATAAATCCTATTACGTTTAAATTAGTTGTAATAAATTAATACCAAAAACATCAAATTTGCTGATTTTATTTTAGCCATCATTTACTTATTGCATTATGTAATAAAAAGTATACTGTATATATGTCAAAATGAACATCTTTTTTCATCATATATTTTAGATACGTATTGTAAGAATGTAACAAGATCAGAATTATACAATACATAATAAAAAATACTCCGGCTCAAACTCTTCAACATTAAAACCGCTGATGATCTTTAAAGTTCAAAATTATAGCTCTAAACATTATTATAACAAGTCACCTTCCAAAGCATAAAATAAATCAAAATCTAAACATCTGCTTAGAAACTATGATGCCAAACACTCATCCACAGAAACATATACACTCACGTAACTTAATGCTAAACAACACTCTTGTTTTTATGTCGGAATCAATTTATTTCCCTTTTATTTTAGAAACTTAAAGGTTCATGAGTTATTACGTTTTTTTTTATTTGCATCAATTTGCTTCTAGCAAGCACCAAGCACTTAATCAAATATATAAACTAAATATAAAACAATCACAAAATCTCACTACACTTTCACAGTCATACTCCTACACATACTACACTAACTACTTCATAACATCACATCACATCAACAGCCTTTAATAGTTCACTGCTTGACATAGGCCTCTCCTTAGAAAGGAGGTTTTGGCCTACTTTACCACGCTGGCCAGATCGGTTGGTATAGGGTTTGTGTTAAGTTTGCCTTCTCTCTGCAGTGCTATTGTTCTGCGTAGTTATTTACTCTTTCTGAAAAATCGCCTTTTTTCGAAAGCTTACAAAGATACAGGCTTCCCTAGTGCATGCATGTATAATGTAGATTACGTAACTGGACTGCTAATATATATTAATATTAAATGCAATACAGCATAATACCTATCTAAAGCATACCGTATTACGTATACAGACTGTCTAAATGAAGTTTACAGTTGGGTGAAACTTGAATGCATAAAGCTATCAACACCCCATTGAGGATCTCGAGGTCGTTTCAAAGCCAGCTATTACTTTCCGCGAGGCACGCCCGAGGCTGTAAATTACTCAACCTTGAATTGTTTATTTTGCAAGTCAATTCATGCTATGAAACTAAATATGGTAATATACAATCAATATTCCACGGTAGTTCCGTTTCTATATTTATTGGTGCGGTAAGCAAAATTAAGTTTGTCATTGATTTTATGATTTTGCACATACAATTTAGGATGTATGTTGTAGGAACTTTGCGTGTCAAGTGAAAGTCAAATGGATAGCTATCAATAGTAAATGTTTACGTATGTACTCGTAGTTCTAATAAGGTATAGAAGATATGTAGGTCGAGCGTGTTTAATAATTGATTTGATTAATAGATAACGCTGGCATTTAAAATACAGTAACGTATTTCACTTCATTTGTTTCTACTATTTTGTCCATTTGCTCTAAATTTTTGTTTTATTCCATTTGTTCTTTATTTCATCAACAGCCTTTACCAGTTCAATGCTGGACATGACCTCTCCTTAGAAAGGAGGTTTTGGCCTACTATACCACGCTGGCCAGACGGGTTGGTATAGGGTTTGTGTCAAGTTTTCCTTCTCTCTGCAGTGCTGCTGTTCTGCGTAGTTTGCTCCCTTAGTCGCCTCTTACGACGTTCTTTGTTTACACTTTTTTAACTATTTGTAACTTTCTCCATATTAAAAAATAAACCTGAAGAGTTTTTTTCTGCTTAAACACACTTAGCTCTGAATTTATGTATACATTTTATTAAGATTATATTTGATGAAGGAATATGATGTGAATCTTTCTCCAATTTTGTGACAGCTTTGTTTTTCAAGAAGGGAAATGAAGAGAACTATGCATAAATAAACAAAATAAAAATAATAGTAACATCACACATCTTACACACGTCCGTCTGATCCCAAACTAGGCAAAGCCTGTAAGCCTATGGTAACCAGACTGCTGATAAACATACTTATATATTTTTAAATACATACTTAATATAGATAAATTACACTCAGACACAGAACAAATGACCGTGCTCATCACACAATTCCTAGGTGGGAATCGAACCCACGACCTCCGACTTAGTAGTCAGGGCCACTAACCAACAGGCCCTTCAAAAAAAAATTTGTAAATGGGACTAATTGTACTAACCGGCATACAAACATCAAGGTCTGTAGTGTTTCTTATTGCCTTTAGGTCGCTCGTATATGCATCAAGCATCACACATAAGTCTTGTACATCCTGTGATTTGTAATTTTCAACAATGGCAGACAATTGTGGGAACCAAAGTCTGAAGACATTATACCTGAAAGAAAACATCAATACAAATTTCTCTTTAACTTGTAACTAGCGAATTTTTACTCTAAGGTTCTTTTCAGCATAGCACTTAATACATCTTGTTAACTGTAAAAGTATGTAAATTATTCACTTTTAAATTGCTCGTAGTATTTTTTGTTGTTTTTGTTATGAGAGCTCAAAATAATGCATTTACTTAACTAAGTGTTTGGATAGTGAGAGCTGCCTTTTAAGAGCATTACCATTAATACAGCTTCTTTTAAGTTTTGCTATTTTTGTGCTTTAATGAAAATGCATTTGTTTATTGCTACTGTGGCCATAATTTAAAAAAAAATGCAAAATTTTATAGAATATAGAGACTAACACTATTGACGACCGGATAGCGTAGTGTTTTGTGTACTGGACTGCTATTCCAAAGGTCGCGGGTTCGATTCCCGCTCAAGTAAAACATTTGTGTGCTTTTAATGTTTGATTTGGTTTTAATGTTTCTGTGTATAATATGTATATATTTACAAAAAAAACTGTATATATGTATTTATATCAGTTGTCCCAGTACACATAGTAGAAGCTCTGCTCAGTTTGGGACTAGATGGCTTTGTGTGAATGTGGTAGAATATTATTATTCTATTATTTTTATTATATAATAAATTCTGTTAATACTCTATTACATATAAGATAGTTGACTACGAAGTATTTCTGAATAGAGATCAGTTCAATACGTTACCAGGCCAATATCTCACATCTCAATTTAAATATAAGCATTTCTCTTATTATATTATTTACTAAATTTATGTACGTAAACCCTTGACACTGACAAAAGTGTGTTTAACGATTAGAAAAGAGATTAGTTAAAAAATATTTTCGAACGGCTGAACAGATGTTCTCAGATTTTTGATAATAACATCTCATCATGTAGGCCTTAAAAAAAATGAAATAGGTCGCAAGGGACACAAAGCCATATACCCCTTGTATATGGCTTTTTGTCCCCTGGGACCTTTTTTTTTCATCAAATACTACATGAACATAAAATGAAAATGCTCTTTATAATTTAAAATATATTAAATTAATAATACTCACATAGACATGATAATATAATTTGCCAGACATATCGCTGCCAAATATACTACCAAGGGCTTCTCGAACATAGGTTTCACGTTATGAAGAGCTGCCACGATGTGATGCTTAAATGTATGCTCACCCTGATATTCCAAAGTTTCGTCTAAAGCATGTTTCGTTTTGTCCTTCCAAATATTTTTAAACTGTTGAATAAAACATATAATTTTAATGTCATCTGTGTGGTGACGGGTTAAGAATACGCAGTGTCACCACCCCTATTCATCCCGTGCGTATCGTAAGAGCTGACTAAGGGAGTAAACTATGGAGGACAACAGCACTGCAAAGAGAAGGTAAACTTGACATAAACACTTCACTAACCGGTCTGGCCAGCGTGGCATAGTAAGCCAAAACCTCTTTTCTAAGGAGAGGCCTAAGTCCAGCAGTGGACTATTAAAGGCTGTTGATGTAATGTGATGATGTGAATTTTAATATATTAACACCGGCTTCTACAAGCTCCTGCAATCTCAGTGACGTTTCTCTAGCTACTTTGCCCTATTCGTTTTCTCTACTACAATTTACCTTCTTCTTTTACCTTGCCTTAAAATGATTACATACCCAAGGAGAGATAGCGTCAGGCAAGCGAGCCGCCTTAGAAGAAAGCAGTCAATACCTTTTTGCAATGTTATACGTTGTATTGAAACTTATAATAAAAAGATACACAGGGTTACTGGGTAAGGCGACTAGATTCTTTAAGGGGTTGTAATTGCCACCATTTCTGATAGTTTTCACTTTGAAATACCATATCCGAAACTCAACCATTTTCAAGGTATTGGATTTTTAAGATTGTACAATTTCGTTGATTTTTATTAAAAATCAAATTAGGAAAAGCGCAGATTGATTATGATGATCAAATATTAAAACGATATCATGGAAGAGGCACACTTAGGCATGTAAGGGCCTGGCCCAGACGGAGTGATACCACGGTCTCACTATTATTATTATTATATAGTACCGTACTCCCCTTAATTCTGGGAGGAGGGACTGTAGGATGGTAACACAGTTGTGACTCGTGAGTTGCATGTATCTATGAACGGCGGTAGTCACTTACCATGTGTACCAGTGACCCGTCTGCTTGTTTGCTCCCTTATACCATAAAAATTGCATTTAAAATATATAAAGGAGTACACGTAAATGGCTTTATTTTAATGGTTCAGACAATATCAGCATAATTATGGCGCAGGAACATATTTCACTGACGCCATAATTCAACGTGATGAGCCGAGTTGATAGCGAAAATACTTTTACAAATGAAAGTAATATTCTCGTTTGTAGATTATTTAAGGTATTTTAGGAAGGTGCTTATTCATGTTGGTGAAGAAATTTTGAGAAGTTTAATTTTTCTCATCATCATCGACAGCATTTAATAGTCCACTGCTGGACATAGGTCTGTTCTTAGAAAGGAGGTTTTGGCCTACTATACCACGCTGGTCAGATGGATTGGTCTAGGGTCTGTTTCAAGTTTTTCTTAAATATATATATATATATATCTATATATATATATATAATATGTTGTTAGTATTCTAGTCTTATACCTACAATTACATTTTCAGGTCAATATGTTGTAAACTTTTTGCAAACCGTCGACTTTTACAAGAATTGGGAGGGTGTTTTCATTTTGAATAACATGCTCATGCACTTTTGTTGCTTACCGTACAAAAATAAGGCGCCATCTTTATTTTTAATCACTAAATTTATCACATTAATATTGTTACAACATCAAAGTAAGTGTAAAAATAATTTTACACATCTCACACAAGTTAGTCTGTTGCCTAGTCTAGTAGTAGTTTTCAGGTAACTAGACTGCCGATAAACATACTTAATTTTTTATAAGTACATACATATTGAAAATAAATGATACTCAAACACATAACAAATGCTCATCACACAATTTTTTGTCCTGGGTGGGAATCGAACCCACGACCACCGGCTTCAGTCAGTCATGTCCAAAACCACTAAACCAACAGGCCCGTGAGAATATGTAAGATTACACAATAATACTAAGTAAAGCCACAAACAGCAGCATTCTACTTAATCGTTAATTAAAATAATCTCACCGGATAAGTATCTGCAGGTTTTCCTGTGTTCTTTACATATACGTCAATCAGAATGTTTCTCGCCTCATCGTATTTTCCGTGCGTCACCAAATATTTAGGACTCTCTGGCACAAACACACCGTACATTACACAGGCAGCCAGGGGCCATAACGACGTGGCGTAAAGATAAAAATTCCACGTGTTGAGCACTGAAAGAAAAAAATAAAACCGCTGTGTTACGCGAAAAGCTGAGAGTAACAGTGGGACGATTACGAAAATACTGGAACTGTGCAAAAGAAAACCCTTGTTTATTTTGCTTTTTTATTCAAGGTTTTGCCTGGAGATTAAATGTGAGACATCAAAGTGGTAGTATTTATCAACTTAAACTTTATTGTGTGGCGGTTTTGTCTGCGAGATAGCGCTGTTAGGATAATGTTACAACGCTCCTATATTTTTGTGTTCTTCACATGTTAAAATTGTGCTTAAATACCATTTAATGTGACCGTTTGTGGCGAGCATATTTATATGAACGATTTACTGTAATATAATTGGATTAGATAATTATATTTAACTATTATTCAGTAATTAAACACTGCCGTTTAACACCGATTTGGTTACTACCTATTATTTAAAAGTTATTTATTTTTATTTTTAGGCTTTAGCTTTTCTTTTTTAACTATTTTTTTTAGGTGAATTATATTTTTTAAACAAAACTGTGTCATTTGATTGGTTACCAATTGTATTTGGTCGCAATTTAAAACATTTTAAACGGTTTTGATTATTTTCCTTTATGGGTGGTGAAATACCTGACGTGCACCCTTTCACAGAAGAAGAAATTTTTTTCATTGCACAGGGGGCAAACAAGCAGACGGGTCAGCTGATGGTAAGTGACTACCACCGCTCATGGACACCTACAACTTTTTATTATAGACAATTAGGCATTAGGAATATATCCTGTGTCGTGGTTTACAAACGAGCATGAAACGGACACAAAGAACACCCAGACTCAGAACAACAATTTGTGGATCACACAAAGTGTCGTCCCATGTGGGGATCGGACCCACAACACTCAAAGTGCGTGAAGTCAAAGGTGAAGTGAAGTCAAAGGTGCGTGGCCGCTCTTTAAGTCGTCAAGAATATATAGAGAGAATAAGAGTAGTGAGGTTTTGGGCTTACGTAACCTAAACCTTAACAAAAGAGTTTCTTAACATTGGTTTTCTGTGGTTAACACTGGTTATGCTTGAGATGGAAGAAGAAGATGAGAAGGAAAATTAAATACACGAAGGAGCTAGATAACGGGTACTGTTAGTCTCGGATGGGCAAAAGGGACTGGGACTTCAGTAGCTAGAAGACGTTGAGATTCCAGAGGCTACTAGAACAGGGCAATTACCTGGCTTTCTTTCTAATAAATATATTTTTCTTTATCATCATCTACAGTCGTTAATAGTCTACTGCTGGACATGGACCTCTCCTTAGAAAGAAGGTTTTGGCCTACTATACCGCGCTGGCCAGACAGTTTGGTATAGGGTTTGTGTTAAGTTTTCCTTCTGTTTACAGTGATGTGGTCCTACGTAGTTTGCTTCCTTAGTCGGCTCTTACGACACTTCGTATTCTAAATCCGTCACTACAAAGAATATCTCATTACTAGCTTGAATTTATAAAATAAATTTTATATTTTACCTTTTCAAGATGTGATAAGTTTCAAAGAAATGTTAATCTGTTTTCTTCAGAATTCAGCTATTGTAACAGAATAAGATAAAGCCAAACCGATGCACAATCACCGTTGTCGCTATATTTCGTTTCTTTGTTTTACAATACGGCTTTTCTCCTTCGCTAAATATAATTTACTTCAATCAAGATTTCTAAGACTTAATGATTTCAATTCTTTCTTTTCTGTTTTTATTTGGAACTAAGTATTTATTGTTATTTGAAATCACGCGATTCATTTGTTTCTATATTTAATTTAGCTTTGTTTGTTTTGGCAAAGCTTTCGTCCTTGTTCGGTTTGTGTTTACGATTTTTTATCGTCTGTGACTGTTTCGTATCGAGCTCTTAGTTTTTTTACTTTGTATTCAAAATTGTATTTGCTTGTTTTAATATTCTTTTAATAATGGCATTATGTGACCGAATTGCATTTTTTAGGATATTTTGCTACTTCTCGCGATAGTTACATATATAAAATAACAATACAAAATTATGGTTGTGTTGTAAGCTTTAGTAAAATTATAACTCATTTACAGCTTTTTCATTTTTCATATTATTGTTGTTAACTGAGGTCAAATTTACTACCCATATTGTTGTTGTGTTTAATTTCTTATTTGTTTAACCTCATATCGTAGGCTATAGGTATGTAGGGCAATCATCTACCACCCTAGAATATGCTGATGCCGAATTAAATGTATGATTTTTTTCAGAAAATATGCTAATAGAACAAGTCTAATATTTACCTCTGTAATGAAGTTATTCAAAAACATCTGACATCATTAAAGTTGTCTCCAACAAACTGATAGCGATCTTTTCAAAATATCTAAGAAACAAGAAAATAAATGGTCTTTGTTTTCCTAGTTCATTATACTTGTAGTAACATTAGAGGGAAGCAATATTCATTAGAGTTCGGGTTTATAATAGTTCCATTCATTCCAGAACATGGAGTAATAAATATAATAATAGTTTTACGGTATGTTCGCAGCACTCTCGTTTTACGAGGTAAATAAGTAATTCAAGTTATATCAAAGCCGAGTATATCGTTATAGCCCTAAAACATTACGACTCACATTTATTGGGCTCCAGATTGATATAGCACATTGTTTGTAATATGTTTTCGTGGTGTTAGTAATCAGACACAGTTATTAAAATCTGTTATGGTTAAAATGGTAGGCAGTTTTTGGCAAATTATGTTACTTGAGCTACAATGTGATTGTCAATTTGAGGACCAATAGTCGATTCATGCAGGCGTCGTTCAAGACAAAAGTGCTTTTAGAATGAATTTGAAACTGTCTTGGTTCTGTACCGCTTCGGGAATATTTGCACGTCGAACAATGTAGACTTCTGTGGGACTTCGCATAAAGATTGCGTCTTTTATGAGATTTTTCATTTGAAGGCATTATTACTTACTAGGTTTTGCCAAGAGTTTTTTACATGTTAATTAAGACTTTGTAGTCTGTGATCTTTTCTGTAACATCACAACGTGTATACAAATTTCGTTCAGGATTCAGTTGAGTGAGTGGGAGAGAAAGTTTAGTGAATCGATAGAAGTGGTTAGACTCTTAACTAAGGTAAAAATCAACTAAAAACTAATTCATAGGTCATCAAAAAATATTCACAAAATTATTTTAGTTTGACAAAAATATACCATAGAAATGCTTTTCCCCTCAAAGGAAAAACAATAGGAAAAAGATTCTAACTGTGACAGTCAAGGATTTCTCTTTTCTCTGTCTGTACACATTTGATAAGACAACAAAGGATTCGCAAATTAATTAAATTATCTTACCATATTTTCCTCCAAAGAAAGACACTTTCCAGTCATTCATAAGCATCCACCATGACAAAAGAGTGACTAATATTTGCGAAATAGCTACAAACGAAGATTGCAATAAAATTACTCGGTCCCTGATGTGGTTACTGCAGAACTCCGTTGTTAAAGCTATAACAGGACTGAAACACGCAGCGAACCTACAAACATAATTAATTATCATCACTTATTGTCCTATTTTATTTGTGGTGGGCGTATTATTGCAACGTGTTTTTGTCAGTTGGGATAGGGATAACGGATAAGGGGATTTCAAAAAGTTAGACAGGGCCGGTATGCTATCTCGTCGTATGCTGATGTCCGTCATATGATTAAAAAGGCTAATAAAACAGACAAAATAAATAGCCAAGAAACTGTTAAAATATTTTATGTTATTGTAATTTGCTTTTGTATTGCGTTTATATATAATTAGGTAGGGCATATAAAATAATGTGCAATTGTTTTTGTCAAATCAAGCCATAACCTGATACAACTATTTATATATAATCTTGACTGCACGGATGGCGCAATGGTTTAAGAGGTCGCCACGCCGCGCACTACTACTATGAGTATTGTGGGTCCCACCCCCATATGGGACGACACTTTATGCGATCCACAAATTGTTGTTCTGACTCTGGGTGTTCTTTGTGTCCGTCTCATGTATGTTTGTAAAGTCCCCCGCGACACCGGATACATTCCTAATGCGGTAGTTGTCTTTATAAAAGAAAAAAATAAGAAAATAATCCTGATCTACTACAGGCAAGGAAGTGGGTTCTTTTCAATGGTTTTGAAGATGTTAACCTATGTTTATCATCTAAAAGAGGGTAAGTATAGTAACTATATAGGTACAAATTATAGATGATTACAGTCAGACACAGCATATGATAATGGTCATCGCATGGGCTTCAACCTAAGGCCTCTGGCTAAACAGTCAGACACAGCATATGATAATGGTCATCGCATGGGCTTCAACCTAAGGCCTCTGGCTAAACAGTCAGACTTATTTGTTATTGCCGAAGGTTCCTAAGTTCAAAATTGTATTGAACTGTCTACATAAATACAAATTAATTATCAAGTTTATTAAGTTACTGCTACACTAACTTCATATTTTATGACTATCTGTCTATAGAATAAAATAAATAAAGTTCATTAATGAGAAAAGTAGGTAATTCCCTACCCGGCCGTTTCCCAATGTACGTCAAACAAATTTATACCCAAAGTGTCTAAATCTACAATTCCATTTTACTTAACTTACTTATATAACTTACATTACCACTAGAAGAACGTGTCACTAGAGAATAACAAATTTGTAGTAGGTACTTTCTTGAAATTTTAGTTTTATACACCTACGAGATTTTTATAGCAAGTAGGTCATTTACAAAAAACAAAGTTTTAACTTAAGTTAAGTTAAAACTTAAGTTTAAACTTTACTGATAGCAATTCTACAAATGTAATATACCAGTATTATCTTAGAGAGGAAACAATCATCACTATTATCATCATCAACCTTTAATAATCCACTGTAGAACGTAGGCCTCTCCTTAGAAAGGAGGTAAACAATATTAAGAAAGGTACAGAGTGTCATCACCCCTGTTCATCCCGTGGGTGTCGTTAGAGCTGACTAAGGGAACAAACTACGCAGGACAACAGCACTGCAAAGAGAAGGAAAACTGGACACCAACCTGTCTGGCCAGCGTGATATAGTAAGAAAAAACCTCCTTTCTAAGGAGAGCCCTATATCCAGAAGTGGACTGCTTAAGGCTGTTGATGATTATGATGATGATCTTTTATAAATTACGTATTTGTAATATATATAAGAATAATATTAATTAAAAAGTGGCTTTAAAAAGGACTTATACAGTTTTAATGAAAAATAATTTAATCACGTATAACATAAATTTTGCAGCTACTACACAGTGCTTAAATCAACTGTAGGCACAGTTTTGCTATCAGGTGCTACGCGCTACGGGATGAGACGATTCAAGTTTAGTAAAAAATATATATAAAACAATACTTCATAACAGAATAAGAATCGAAAAGTATTATAAAGCATTTTATACTGTTAATGTTTTAATATAATATTAATCGCACTTTTTAAACAAATATTTATAAAATATGTAATTTGCGCACATCTCTTTTTCAGTATCGCGATCGTGACAAACTGCTATTACGTGGGGCATGTTTCTGGATCTAGCCACTTACAATAAAAGAATGAAAAATCAATAATGGAATTCGAAAATGGAACCCTTTGGAAATATATAACTTTTTAATTTGCGATACTGTCATTTGCTTTTTCATTGTAAAGTTCTTTCGAAAATTGTGAGTCGCTATCAAAATGAATTAAACTCGTGAACATTTTCGTTCAATTAGTCTTTATGATTTTCGTTGTGGCTTAAGTCAACAAGAGAGTGGCGAGAGACTTTAATTGGTATTTGGTGATGAAGTACCATGTCGAAGCTCTGTGTATTCAAAGTTTGAGGATTTTCACGTGGACGTGATCATCTTTATGTCAAGGTATGTGAAGGTCGGACGGCGATGGCGGTTACACTCAGTGCGACTTCTTTTTGTTTCCAAAAATTAAAGACAATCTTAGAGCCACACGTTTGACGAGCCCTGAACCGGCGGTGAATGCGTTCCATGAAACCATTGAAGAGGTCCCTAAGGAAGACTTAACTTTGTACAGTGGTTTCAGCGAATGCTAAAATGTATGAATTGAGAGGGAATATACTTTGAAAAACAATAAATGTATCGTAATTCTTATATCTAATCTTATTTATCAGAATCCAAAAACTTTCAGTATGATCTTAGTATATGCAATAATGGGTATGAAAATTAATCATTTGTATTAGACTTGCAACGAATAGTATATTCGGCAATATACCGAATACCGAATATTCGGCGAGGCCCCTGACCGAATAGCCGAATATTAGGCAAAAGTATTCGGCTGGATTTTAGCGCCAAAAACTTGTACAGACGTGAATTAAATTATGTACCTGTTTTATGTACCAATGACTACTTAATAAATGATTATAAAAGAAATGAGAACCTTACCCTTCTAACTTTTGATTACCACAATAATTCAAATACATAGAATTCTCCATTTTTCCAATTCAGAAGATGATTATGTACCTGTGTTATGCACCAATGACTACTTAAATGATTATAACAGAAATGAAAATATGAATATATACGTAATCAATCGATTTTAATTTTTCATTTTACCAATTATTTCTCAATGACAAAATATATTATTTAAGTATTCGGTATTCGGCCGAATAATATGTAGATATTCGGTATTCGGCCGAATATAATAAAAGCAGCCGAATATGCCGAATACCGAATAGTAACCGAATATTCGTTGCAAGTCTAATTTGTATACATTTCTAAACATACCATAAATACTTTGAAATATTTCTTATAAAGAAAAAAAAACTACGAACTAATACATGTTTTAGAAGAATCAAAACACAAAATGTGTTATCCGCTACCGTCATTAATTCAGTACTCTAATTAAAATGTATACACATTTTTGTGACTCAGCAGAACACAGCACAACCACACACAACAAAAAAAAACTTTTTTAATAGATTTAAGTAGTTTGACGGATTAAGAATACAGAGTGTCACCAACCCTATTCATCCCGTCGGTGTCGTAAGAGCCGACTAAGGGAGAAAACTACGCAGAACAACAGCACTGCAGAGAGAAGGAAAACTTGACAGAAACCCTTTACCAATCCGCCTGGCCAGCGTGGTTTAGTAGGCCGAATCCTCCTTTCTAAGGAACAGTGAACAGTGTCTAGCAGTGAACTATTAAAGGCTGTTGATGTGATGTGAAGTAGTTAACTTACAAAAGTCCTTCGAAAAACTTGGCAGCAACAAGAAGTTCGTAAGTTTGACTAGATGCTTCTACAACTGTGAATACGAATTGGCCTGTGAATCCAACAACTATGAATATCTTTCTTCCAAATGCATCCGTTAAAAATCCTGCTATTATTGCTGATAATAACATCCCTGAAAAAGGATAAAAAATTATGTAACTCATTATTCGGTACCAGGTAAATTAACAGCTTCTAAGCAAGGGCAGTAAAATTACTGCCCTTGCTTAGAAGCTGTTAATTATGTAATTTTATGAAAAATTGATTTGCGCCCTAAGACTGTATTTACAGTCGCATATCAATTTTTAACAAAAACATTTTAACAGACATAAAAAAGTGAGTTTTTTCATAGTAATCAAAAGGTTTAGACGATAAACATAATCAACGAAAATTCAAATTATCTTTATTTCCATACATTTAAAAGAAAACAAGTTTTGAAATCGTTATAGCGTGGTATTCTATCTGTCTATAACCTCAGATTCTAGTATAAACAGATTTAAGATAATATTTATTATGTTTTACAAAAGAAGGATCACAGAAAAAACGCAATTCGGCAGATAATACAAAACAAGCCAAGAAAAACTATGTTAATTAGTATAGCTTCAGCGAATTACTTTTTTATTTTACTCAACTATTAGATACAAAAAGTATTTATACGAAATTCATTTATAATAAACATCAAATTCATTATGGATAAAGCTTGAACTTTCTGGCGATAGCCGATATAAACCAGCGAGACTGAGTATTGTAATGGTTTTTTATACAAAATGAGGTTAAAGGCAACAGAGTTTTAAAGAGTCTCAAATGTGCAACGGGCAAATCTCCATATAGAAGGCAGGCAGGCATATTATTATTTATATATTTTAAATGAATAAACACATTTTTTTTACTTTAAATGACTGTCCTAAAAAAAAGACAACTCCTGCAATAGGAATATAGGTTTCCAGTGTCGCGGGGGTATTTACAAATATACAGGAAACGGACAAAAAGAACACCCAGAGTCAGAACAACAATTTGTGAATTACACAATGTGCTGTCCCATGTAGGGATCGAACCCACAAAACTCAGCGCCTATTTAACGTTTATGTATGTGACCTTATATAAGTCTTAGAGAAAATTTTAGAAGAAGAGAAGGTACTAACCTGTGTAGGGCATCGCATTTAACAGTCCTTTTTGTAATAATGTCATATTTAAATCACATTCTGCCACCGGTAGTAAGTATCCCGTGGTAGAGGAAATCAAACTCGCTGACATATAGCCCACGAAAGTAATCGCCAAAAGTCTGATTTGGAAAATCCCAAAAGTGCATGCTTTCAATGCTGCATCTATTTCTTTTATCGGTGTTAAAACTGGCTTGGCTGAAATCATATATGGTAAAAATATAAACAACTAAAATGAAAACATTCAAAGCAAAGGCAAGATTGAATTATTGGTCTAGTTGTTAGCAGTCCTGAGTACTAGCCCTGAGCTCTTGGGTTCGATTCTTACCCGTTAAAAGTATTGTATGAGGGGCACAATCACAAATAGGTAGATTAATTACACTCAGTATCAGAACAAATGTATGTATTTAGAAGTATATAAGTAAGTTTATTTAGAACTATATGTGCCTGGTTGACGCAGAGAAAAATAAAGGTACCACTAGAAATAATTGTTTTACCAAATGTATTTATTTATTTATTTACACTTTATGCACAAATGTGACAAAGGCGGAATTAATGCCGTAGGTATTTTCTCCCAGTCAACCTTAGGACGATGCAGAGCTAAAACATGGTAGCTGCGCAAAAGAAATCAAAAATGTGTTTTTTTTAAATATAGCATATATAGGATATCATATACCCAGAGTACTTATATTAATTACATTAGATTTTTTTTATAAATAATGCATATACAGTAATTAATAATAATGCTAACACACAAAATACATAAGTATTTAAATATATATTCTAGAAGAGAAAGGAAAAAAAAATTAAAATGGATCTGATAAGGAGCTTAAAAAATGTTTCCGCAGCAGGTATTTAAAGGTTTGCCGAGTTTTTGCCATCCTGATCTCGAAACGGGGCATATGCCATAACAGAATAGAAAAGTAGAATGTGCGAAGTCAGAGCGGTGAGTGGGACAGTGAAGAAGTAAGTTGCTTGAAGATCTAAGGGTTTAAGTGTGTTTTGAACCTAAATATTGAAGTTGATACCAAAGTATTGATACAGGATTCGAATTTTCAATTTTCATTATTGAAAAATGATTATCTATCTACCCTAGGCTTAAGACAATAGACCGTTGTTCTTTGAAACATTTCACAAAAAATGGTTATTATAATACAAAACACGTGACTGTTGGGTCAGAGTAATGGCTAGGGATTCAGAATACATGAGTCTCTATAAGCTATATCGTATATTTCGTGTTACGTAACGTAGAAACTCGCTAGGGATTACATAAGATACACTACTAGTATCCAAATAATTTCAAAGGCGAAAAGATCCGATAAGTTACGATGAATATACGGCGAATAATATCGTGTCAATATCAGAAAATGTTGTGAAAGATTGTGTTTATGCAAACTGAGAAAATATAAAAGCAAATAAGGGAAATATCCCTGAAAATAAGTAGTACATTTTTTTTATCTAAACAAAACAGAACTAAAAGGTTTTATGAAACATCTACGCCATCCTCTTGTCTAAGCACTTAAAAAAACGTAAGCAAAGACTATTAAAGTATATCACTTGTCGATACGTACTTAGTTGAATTTAATTAGTAAGAAAAATAATTAAAACTGTTATAAAATTCAGTCTATTCTTAAATACAATAAAATCGATTATTGCAACAGCTGTTTAAAATGCTCAAATATAAAAGTAAATTTGCCAAAAAAAAAAAGTTCTTAAAATAAAACAGCTGAAGATTTCAAAGACCAGAGACAATGGAATGAGTCTTGAATTAAAGAGATTTTGCCCCAGTTTTAGCAAATACTGACTAAATTGATAGAAACGAAACTTTGGAACAAAACTTGTTTCTATGTTCAATTCTCATTGTGATCTGAGATAATTGTACTGTACTGAAAGAGAATACAGAAATCAACGTTGTTGATTACATATTACATAATATTATCTGAAGAACAAAGAAAGGGGATAGTTACTTTGAAACAGTTCCAAGATACTCTCTCTGGCACATAGCAACTGTTCTAAATGTAAGGATGGTAATCAAAGCAATCATGAATAAGATAAATAAAACATTCTCTATGGTCTGAGATTAATGGGAACATACGAGTTGGATGGAAATATTCCCCGAAAAATTGTAAAGGTACCGAGGATATACGAGTATAATATTATGGGTATATTTAATAATGTAAAAGAGAATGCAAAAAAAAAATCGGAGAAGTACAATTTCAGTGTATATTTCGATATAACTATATGTATTCCGATATATCTATATGTATTGTCCGATATACATATATGTATTCTACTGAATCACTTATATTTAGAATAAAGAAAACTCATCAAAGCTTAACAATTGTTTATTTAATACAGTAGTTGTACAGATAGATGCATGTCCAAATGCTTGTAGTTTGTTTTAATGACCCATAAAGTTATATATCATCATCACTGTCTCAACCGTAAGACGTCCACTGCTGGACTTTTTTTTATAAAAGCTAAATATGTGTATTTAAAGAAAAGAGCGTACTCCTTCCTCAAAGGCCGGCTACGCGCTTGTGACTACTGAGTTGCAGGCGTTCACGGGCGGCGATAGTCGCTTTTCATCAGGGTACCCATCAGCTCGTTTGCCTTCCTTTTCCATAAAAAAATAAATTAAACATGAAATACTAAAGTTATGGTGTATGACAATTGTATTTGAACATTTTATCGTTCGATTTCAGCGTAATAGGTCCTGAAATTTTGAAACACTGTATTACTACCAATTACGTATAATGTGAAACTTAAAAAAATACTTTGTGTTTTGTCTTTGGTATTTGGATTTGGACGTATTAATAATATTAAATATTGTATAATATAATATCATTTCAATTTCTCTATCTATTCCTAATTATGTTACATCTTCAATAAACATCTACAAATTATAAATTGTTTTACATTAAATTAATAATAAGCCTAAACCTTGACATAGTACCTAGATATATTTATTTATAGCTTTTGAACATCATATGTTTAAATTTAAGTGTCAATATTTATTTTATTATTCTCACAATATTTAGCTCTGTCTCATTGGACGCACAGTTTTATTTTGTACTAAAAAAAAACAACCGAGATTTATGATCTAATAAAAACTTTCATATGAATAAAAAGTGACTCAATTTTGCAAGTAATGTTAAATCTAGCTCAGACTAGCGAAAAATTGCTGTGTAATATACTGTTCGTGCCAACTGTATTTTAATAAGTTATTAACTTTTTTATCAGAGTTACGCATTAAAGTTTTTGAATATCGTGCTGTTATAGGATTTTTATTCGTGTTTCTGTACGAGTATATATGTATATATGTTGTTGATTTTTACAGATATTTACTAGTAACATAGAATTTGGACATAGTTTATACCAAAAAGATATGTTCAATTATTTTTTCCCAAATTATTTTGGTATCATGCCAGTAACAAACATGTTGACCGTCTAATAGACATCGGATTATGGAAAATTTGCATCAATATTTCATTCACAAAAATTACCATTGGTGACCACTTCTGGCAGTCAAATAAATTACATGAATTTATAATTGCATATCAGAGCAGTCAAATATTTTGACAGTCGTATGCACAGCCACAATAAACAACACAACACAGTAATGTTACAGTTTGCAGTGCTCAATGAAACGTGACAGTAAATAAAACAAATGACGTCAATTTTCAATACACAAATTGTGACACGTGGAATTTATATTTATGAAGATATAGGAGTTTTGCTCACAAAATAAAATCGTATAAAATATTATTGAATATTTTACTTCTTTGAATGCTACGAATGTGTTTTACAGTAAAAGTCTTGGCAAAAGGGTAGTTTTTCGTAAATGGCTGTAGCGGCCGAACTTAAAATCGCTCCCGTCAATATCTGTAGGATTTAAAATATAAAAGTAATGAAGGTTAATTATCAATAATTGTATATATACGCTAAAAAACTACGATTTTACCTGTTATATTGTCATTTTATTCGATGTTTGTATTATTCTAATAATATTATTAAAATATTCTTGTTTATATATGTAAATAAGATAATTGAAAGATGTTTAAAAATATGTTTTTACAAGTTGTTTGTTCGCTTCGGTTTACGGACCTTGACACTTCACAAGACAATGATGACAAGAGGACATATCGCCAAAAGACATCGTGGTAAATTTTCGCTCGAAATTCGTCTTAACCACACTTCCGACTTGTCATCAATGTCGTCAGAGGAGTAAGTGCTGTATGTTTTCAAATTAATCAAAAGTTGCTAGGCGACTGTCGAGGGAGACAAAAGTTGCTACGCTCACAGAGGATAGGCTTAAGACATATTCCACGACCAGCAGATGTCGCTGGCGATGTTGAGCAACATTAGTGTAACGTCATGAAACATGTTTACTTTGTATGAAGCGACGAGGCCTTAGCACAAATCTCCCCTAGTGAATACGGGGCTTTATCAGAAAAGACTTACAAAATAAATATAGGGCACAAACTATGTAATCCTTATGTATGACCTAAATATATTTATGTGAACATTATACAAAGAAAAGGCGGTTCAGTGGGTAGATATGATACTCAATTTCTTTTCTCTGATTTCTTCATAAACAAAATACAACTAAGAAGATTTTATTGAAATGCATTAGTGAAAATATAGATTAAATATAAGATCCCAAGAGCCAGCAATATTCTACATTGACTTATACAAAATATCTCTTAAAGCCACATGTATTCTAAGTCCCTGGTGAAACCAAAATAAATCTACGTTGTCGAGAATATCTTTCTCTATTTGTTCGACTGTATCATTGCAGGAAAATGTATTTTGTGCTTCCATCGTTTTCGCTTCTTCAAATATTTCAATGATTGTATTTTTTTTGTTAGCACTGAAGCACGGTTATATTTTGATCCTGGATGTCTGACGTAATATCATCTATTATTTTTTTAGTTCTTTTGATATTTAAACACTACTTATGAACTTTATTTTTATCTCTAAGCTAAGAGTTTCTTGTGGTTTAAATACTTATGTAAAAATAAATATTATGTATACTTTTTTATTATAAGTACAATCATTTGTACATAAAAAATGAAGATTGCAAAACGAAGAATTAGGGTACCGTACAGAAATATTTATAGTATCTCTTTGTTCCTTTTTATGCAAACCCCCTGTGAGTTGTCAACTAGCCCCGGCCAAAAGGCGTAACATAGCATTTGTTGATCTCAAATCACATACAGTTTGAGTCCGGGTATGGCCCTGTTAAAATATGGTCTACTTTATTGGGTAAAGGATTTTATTATGTTTTAATTTGATCCGTTCTTTTTAATTAAGAAGCTATTAATGAACTTTAGTGTTAGAAACAAAATGTTGGAAAAAGCTTCTATCCCCGGTATAAGTGTTATCAATAAATTAATGAATTTTGGAATTAGGTTTTGGGCTACCACTTATTATAAAAACGCTACGTCACTACTTTTTGTCACATGGCCAATGATGTCCACAAATCGTCGTACCCCTAAGAATAAAGAAAGTTAAAATGTCTGTAATGAGTTAGCAGATCTACCTGACTAAATATGTATGAAGTATGAAATGAATTTGTAACATAATTGTAGCATGTGTGTCTATATATGTTGTGTATTTATCTATCTGTATTATAAATGTATTAAGGAGCTGTGTGCATGTTATGTAGTTGTGATAATTTTAAATCAGAACTTGTAAGTTATGTATGCAAGTTAGTATAAGCATTAGTACCTCAAAGAATTACTTATAAAATTACACTTTAAAACACCCACTTTAAAACAGTTCTACACAATCCCAAGTTTGAGTGAAACAAAACTCTGTGGGCGTTTAGTCTGCTTTTGTAGAAACGCGCATGCAGTGGTAAATAAGTCAATAATAATTTAAAAGATGCCGTAGGGATGATGTAGTATGAATAACAAGTATTCACACTACATTACATGACTTGAGCAGTGTACAAAAATATACGGGAAATCATGCTATACGTAATATGTATCAGGTAGAAACCTTTCAATTGCCTGGCGTTTAGACCAGGGTGTACTGGCCGTTTTTGCAGTCTGACCGACTGAATTGCGTATACTAATAGTACTAATTTAGTTTGTCTGTACTAATTTAGTTTTAAATAGGTAATCACACGACAAATGAGGCTGTATTCAATCACTTGAGACAGTCGTATCTAAAATTATCTCTATATTTTTCCTTATATTTCTATTTGAGCGGCAAATTCACAACAATAAGCAAAACGGAACCAAATTCGGGTGATAAGCTCTTGTTATCTGTAAATATACTCTTATGAGACGCATTGACGGTAAATAAGTTTTCAGCACGCTCTGTTGCCTTAGCAGAAACAGGCCAGGGTGGTGGCGGGACGCGATGCGGAGTGCGCGCGCCCTTTCGGGAGCACAAAGAGGACATTGACTGCACGTATGGCGTAGTGGTTTAAGCGGTCGCCAAGCCGTTCACTATTGCGCTGAGTGTTGTGGGTCCGATCCCCACATGGGACGACACTTTGTGTGATCCACAAATTGTTGTTCTGAGTCTTGGTGTTCTTTGTGTCCGTTGCATATATGTTATGAAAGTCCCCCGCCACACAGGATATATTCCTAATTGTCTTTAAAAAAAAAGATTGGGGTTCTCTCACAGGAGGGGGTCATCTACACGCCGTAGATGGCCCGAAGTACGTCGGAGTACCAGGGATTTCCTTTCAAGAGTCCACCTGGTTCCCCTGCAACTGGTGCCCGAGACGGCGTGCCGTTTTTCGTCGGTTCAAGTACGACATAACCACCCCACCGGTGGGTGGTATCCTAGGGGATTTCCGCACAGAAAAAAAAGGGCGTTGCGTCAGCATCGAACTGACTAAAACGAAATAGTGCAACATGTTCATATTTATTACTTGTTTTGACTGCCTGATTCATCAACGCACGCTAAACCGCTGGGGCTACAAACTTGAATTTCTAGCAGCTGTTGCATTTTATGTTGTAAGCACCAACTAAGAATGTATTTTCGGTAATTACACCCCTCAGGGGGTAAAATAAGAACGAACGGTTGTATGGAAGTTTGTCATGTTTAAAATTAAAAACACGAAGTAAGATTATAATCACACGAGCGAAGCCGGAGGCGACAGCTAATTTTTAAAATAAACAGTGTATTTATATTATTTTAATTTTTAATGTGTAGTTTCATTGTATGAGAGGAACCTAACTAGTGTGTGTCTGTCGTGTGGTGCGTGTTATTTGCGGCCCTCCTCCTTCCTCGTCCTCGTCCTCGTCCTGTCCCTCTTACCCGTCGTATGCTTAATGTATGTTGTGTGTCCAGTGTATGTGCTATGTTGAGTGGGTCTAGAGTGTCTGAGGATTGCGGTATGTCTGGCAATTGTTGCGAGCCCTGTGGTTGTGGGTCCTGTGACTGATGCATGTTTGGCGATTCCTGGGTGTTTTGTGTGTGTTGGTCCTGTGTGCTGTGTATGAATACCGTATCTCCCAAAACTTTACTGAGTATGGTCACTGTGTGTATGGCTGCTTGTTTTTGAAGGATGGTTATGTCGATGTTGGCTCCTAATTTATCTATGTATTTCTTTATGCTTTTAGCGACTATTCCAGTTGCGCCTATAACTATCGGAATGACAGTTGTTTGTGTATTCCACAGGCGGGTGACTTCAGTTTTCAACAGGTGGTATTTGCTCAATTTCTCAATCTCCTTAGCGCCTATATTGTAATCGGATGGTACGGTAATGTCTATTAAATATGTTTTATTGCTAGTTTTGTCGATATATATGAGGTCAGGTCTATTGTGCGTTACGGTGATATCTGTTTGTACGGGCATTTCCCAAAGAATTTTAGTGGATTCATTTTCTTTGACTTGTGGTTGTATGAGTGTTTCTTTCCACCAAAGGTCAGATATTTCTATTTTGTGTTTTTTGGCCAGACACCAGTAGACGTATTGGACAAGGTTATTATGTCGTTTAACATAATAGGTCCCCGCCAGTTTTTCGCATCCTGATATGATATGCTGAGTGGTCTCATCCTTGCAGGCACATATGCGACATTTTCCGTCTACTGATTCTTTCAGTATATCGCGCTGATGCTGTCGGGTCATAATGGCTTGGTCTTGTATGGCAAATAATGATGATTCTAATTTGGACGATATATGTTGCTTCTTAATCCATTTAAACGAAAGCTCTGCATCTATGTTGGCTTGATCAAGTACTTTATGCGGAAATTGCCCGTGTAACTGCTTACTTCTCCACACTGCATTGTGTGTTTTAATAATCGCTTTCTTAATTTCATCATCTGTGTGTGTGTTACCCACTGTTAATTGTAGTTCTTCTTCTATTTCTTGTGCTTCCTTAATGATTGAGTATTTATCTCTATGTGAGTCATGTTGTACTATTGCTTGAGTAAGATGATCTCTTTCTGTTTTTAAGTATTGCTTATATTTAACTACCTGTGTTTTATACATATACTCTACGTTTATAAGACCCCTCCCTCCTTCTGTCAACGGTAAGTATAGTCGCCTTACTTCTGCCTTTTGTTGATGTGCCTTGTTCATTGCCAATAGTTTTCTTGTTTTGACATCTATTTTCTTAAGATCACTAATTTTGTAATTGATAACACCAAACGAATATAGTAGCACCGGAATAGCATATGTATTTATATAATACACAATTAGGATATTTATGATACATACGGCCGTAACCAGAGAGTTGAATAACATACCTATATGTTTGTAAATACATACTAATATTATAAATTCGAAAGTGTGTCTGTCTGTTTGTTACCTCTTTAGGCTTAAACCTCTGAATCGATATTGATAAAATTTGGTATAGAGATAGTTTGAGTCCCGGGAAAGGACATAGGATAGTTTATATCCCAGAAATCATGCTTTAAGGGGGTGAAAATGGGGGTGAAAAAGGTTGTAGATAGCTAGTAAAATAAAAAAATTACACCTAGACACAGAACAAGCAGTCGTTTTCATCATAAAATTATTTGCCTTGGGCGGGAATCGAAAACAAAGTACTTTAAAACATGACGTTACTTACTGGCCAGTGCAGGCAAATCCACGTCACTCATTTTAAACTCGTTTTAGGTATTTTCTATGATTATATTTACTTTCTTCCAAACACTAACATGTCTACCTCTCATGTCAGCTGTAACGGCCTTAATAACATCATCTTAACATAATTTAGTGTAATGTAATTAATTTACTTAAGATGATAATGGCCTTGTCATAGCGGCCAATTAATCTTGATCTCTCGCTGTATGTATGACATTTACAGCTTTCGTTTTAGTATTAACCAACATATTTAGTGAAGAGATCTTTGTTGAGTGGTTGATGAAAATGGCAAAGTAAATAGACGATAAGGAATCACTTCTGTTACTAATTGTTATAACGTTTTCTGCGTAGCATCCTTTGATGTATTTACGGTAGCTAATGTGTGTTTAAGATTTATTACGATACCGTACAAACTCTACATTGTAGTAAAGACATTTAGTTTTTTTGTTCCGGTCTTTTTAGCGTCAAATAAACCTGAATTCGTACAACATTCTAGTTGTCCAACATTTTCTTTTGTTATATGATGTTATATCATTGTATAAATAATATTCAGAGGCTCGAAATAGATACTGAGTGTTATGAAGGTACATATTTGATAAAGGTGACATAAAATTTTATGCCTTTTACATATTCTGACTTCTCTTCAAACAAATATTGTAATAAAATTTTCAGCATCCGCATTCTGATTGATAAAAATTCGTTTGTGTTTGTGCACAAACATTACCTATTTTTTATTTGTTTAATATCTAAAGACGGTCTTTTATGTTAAAATTAAAAGTTTTCAAAGTACATACTATGCTTTTTTAGTAAGCTGCTTTATGTTGTATCAGAATTTTGTTATAAGAAGAAATATCTAAATAGAACCAAACACCTATTCTTCCGTTACTGCTGTCTCAAGAATCCACTGTGTATCACACTCATCACATTAAAAGCCTTTAATAGTCTACTGCTGGACATAGGCCTCTCTTGAGAAAGGAGGTTTTGGCCTACTATACCACGCTGGCCAGACGGGTTAGTATAGGGTTTGTGTCAAGTTTTCCTTCTCTTTGCAATGCGGTTGTCCTACGTAGTCGACTCTTACGATACCCACCTGATGAGTAGTAATGGTGAAACTCCGTATTCTTAATCCGTCACCACACAGAGATGTCGTTCAATTCCGGAAATCCATTGTGCATCACTTGATATCTGTCAGCCTTTGGGAGAATTGTATAAAGACTAGTTATGCCATATCTTTTCTTTTATGGAATAAGGCTGCAAACGAGTTGACGTTTTATTTAATGGTACATATGCAACCCAAGAGACAATAGTGCTTTATCGGCCTTTGTGGTGGAAATCCGCTGTTTTCTTGATCGTTCGTTCGATCGGTCGTATCGGTGGGAAAATACCGCAGACGAAAATTAGTTCGACAATTTGGTTGTACGAAGCAAAAACTTTCTTAAAAAGCACACGGTGGTGGAGCGCAACTCATACAAGTGATGAGGATGGTAGATTTGTTCAATTTTATTTATTTTTTATTATTATTATTTTTTTCCCAATTATTAGTAAAGTTACTTATGATTTTAACACTGGGTATGTTTCTACCTAGATCTGCTGTTTGTTCATACTAATGTGACTGCTTTCAAAGGTAGTCTCTGACAAATTACCTGGTTACATGACGTCCTTAGATTGGTCAGAATCAAAAGAATCGTCTCAAAGTTCATCATCATCAAACTTCAAGCTTCAAGTTAACTCATAACCTGTTACTGTTTTTTTTTATTGTAGGTTCTCAATCACTGTACATAGGTTATATGCAATAAACGAAAATAATAAATAAATTTAATTTAATACTTTTATTTTTATAATATTAAATAAATAAATAAGTAATAAATAAATCAATTTAAAAAAAATATTTATTTATTAAATTATATTTATCTACTTTTTTTACTATTGTAAGACCTTTAACAAATAAAACCAATACTAAAATATTATAGAGAAAATGGTTTCAAATTAAAACAAAATCGTGTTTTCATTTACTTTTAATTTCATTTTTTACTTTGTTTTTTATTCGGTATAAACAGCGACAGCACTATAAAACCTGTAACAAATAATAAGAAAATTAATCAGAATTATCGAAGCTACTACAAAACTCGCAAATTAGAAGCTTGGTTCAGATGCGTTGGTCCAATCTTGATTTACACAAAATTGGATTTCAAGCAATTTCGAGTTCACGAAATGCGGTGCTGACAACTACAGATAGTGTTTTGCAAAATTACGATGTCAAATAATGTTTTGACGTTGCGTTGCTTAATAGAGATAGAGGATATAAGTAACATCAAATTTTGTGACTAAGGCAAAATTTTGACGTTGCTTTACTGAACGAAATTATCACTACAGTATGTTATGTTTTACAGTTACAGGTATGTTTTATAAAGCATTAGTCAGTAGTATTAGTATATTAGCAATAGAATTTTGTAGAATATAAGAAAATAGAAATGATAGTATACCAACAAAACCTTTCTTAAAAAATACATCACGTAGTTACGCACACATGGCAACCTTACCGCGGGAAGCAATCTTTGGACGAAAAGATTGCCCATAAGTAGATATGATGGTAGGTTTTGATTTTAACTGTTATTTATAAGAGTTACTTCGAATTAATTAGAAAAATACTATAAACTATTTGACATCAATAAAATTTGAAAGTAAAAAAATATATGTGGCATTCCTAGACATACATTATATTATGTACACACCAGCAAACATATATTTATAGTGTGTGTAAGTAAATTTTATTCGGGTGGGTTAGTGTAAAGTTTACAATTCAATTACAATTACTGATCTAGAATTTTGGATATTTAACACTTCTAGAATAATTTAATATTCACATTACATTATGAAATTCATTTTAGTTTCTGTTTAGGTCAAGTAACAAAATGTAGTACCATTTTATTAGTTAAGCTAAATGAAGCAAAAATTAACTAGGACATATAAAAAAAAAAACAATAAAACAGAGCAAATAAATGACTAGAACTTAAGCTTAATAATCTTTCAAAATTGTGTATAATGTTGCCAAGATAATCAATACTCTACATATAATATTTGAGCACAACCTTAAATTAATGAAACCGCTGACACCAGTAGGTATGTACGTATATTGAAAGGTATTTTGAGCACAAAAACGTCAAATACGTTACATGTTGATAACTTATCGGCGTGACATGTGGTTGGCGTGAAATTTAATTAATGTGCTCTTATTGATAGGTAATGTGAAATTATATTGATATTATCAGTGTAATTAATCTTTTGGGAGAAATTATTTTATCAAAGTTTAATATATTTAATTACATTTATTCTTTTTTTTATGACTAACCTCATGCAAAAGGCTAGTTACAGGATGGAGTCAGATTTAATGGTCATTTAGCAGATCTCGTAAATAGAGTATGGCTCTACCAATTTTCGGAAATATTGTTTCTAAAAGAATCAGTGCTCTAAAAGAAACATGCAGAAGTTTTATCTTTCAGAGACAGCTCTAATTTGAAAATAACCCAAACCCAAACCAATAAAAATATTTTGAAGACGAATAAAACTTCACTCTGCATAAAAAATCACAATTGATAATTTTAAGTTTTTTTTTTAAATCACCTATTTGTAAAAGGACTATTTGTAGTTATCTTATGTAGCCTTATCTTTTATTTAGCAAACTGTAAACTACGACAAATTTAATATTTTATCTTTGCACCGACCGCATCATATTTCTACATCACCGACTCAACTGGAAGAGAATGCCTCATGGCATTAAGTCCGCCTTTGCATAACACGTGCATAAAGTTTAAATAAATAAATAAAATAAATATTTGTCGACTATGCTTACACGATTCTAAAATATGACAATTACTTCTTTTTTAAATATTGTGGTTTTATATAGGAACACCATCTGCTGTTTAGTGTAGTAAAATTTATTCCGAGTATTAATTTAAACATTGTAAACATCAACTCCAACTTCCAAACACCTTATAGTCTTAAATAGCCATTAGTGGCAAGATTAGGGTTGTCACAAGCTTTACTTTAATCCTAAACAAAAGCAGCTTTCTTTTTTTTAAGTTCGTTGATATGTAGACTGAATTTTTGGAGTTCTTTACAAGATTATCTTTACTAACTAAACACACATGTATAGTGCAACAGAACGAAAAAAGCATACTACCTTCGGCAACGCCCTAGGCAATTGTAGAATTGAAAAAACATAGAAAGTTCTTACTTAAAATAAAGCATGTCGAAATTATACTTACAAACCAAAAGTGCCGATATTGTGAAGAAGGGGACTTCACACCCCATATCCAGCAGTACTGGAAAGCTAACGTTACCTGTCAAGGTACCGATGCGACCCGTGACCATCATGAATGATATGGCTAATGTTCTGAAAGAAACACATGAAGGACACATAATTATTAACAAAATATTATTTCATCACAATACACTATTTCAAAATGCTATGTACGGAATGTAGAATATTGGATCTGATTAAATAAATTGTAATGTTTTAGAAAACGTCTCATTTTAAACTGTTTATCCTATGTATATATTATTAAAAGAGTAAATTTATATAATAAAAATAATAATAATCTTTATTTGGGACAAGAAATCAATTTTTTTTTCTTTTTTTTTCTCCTCAAAAAGACAACTCCCGCATTAGGAAAAATCCTGTGTCGCGGGGGACTTTACAAACATACATGAAACACCCAGACTCAGAACAACGATTTGTGGATCACACAAAGTGTCGTCCCACGTGGGGTTTGAACCCACAACACTCGGCGTAGTAGGAAGCGGCGTGGCGACGTATGTATACATAAACATCTAGGATATAAAATAGCTATATCATACGTACATAATTCGATTCGATGATCTAATTTGACAACAAAGTACTTTTGTGAAAGGGTTTTTGAGTTTAGTTTGGTATCGCATAAATTAAAAATGTCAATGTTAAAACCGCTATTATTTAGACGCAACTATTTACCTAATTACGGATGTGATCGCTAAGTCAAAATGTATTCACTACTGATATTTATGTTAAGGATTTTATCGAAAATATTTAGCGATACTCACCGTGTTGTTGTTCCAAAGGTTTCGATAGTTAAAGTTTGGTTCAAACTTAACATAACTCTTGCCAATGCGATTGTTATAGAAAATAAAGACACCATAATAATTTTGCCATTGGCCCATCGGATACTCATTGTAGTAGCTACACATACAAAGCCTGCTGCCATGAGGAGTCTCTTTTTTCCAACTTTATTCACTAATATTCCGGTAATTAAAAAAGGTACCAGGCTGACACATCCAACAATGATACTGTTTATATACGTTTCGTCCCCACTTTTTGTCTGCGGAGAAAACAAAGTAAAATTAGAGAAAAAAAGTAAGTGAATATTCTGGGAAATACTACACATCTCTGTATAAAACCATACTAAAATAAGAGGATATTTTATATATTAGAAGAGAGGTATTGGAATTCGGTTTCCTTTGCCCACAGAAGACGTAATGCTCGTCTGATCGGTGATTTAGGACAGGCCACAACCTTCAATCAACAATCATTCCTACCTTAAATGTCCTCTTATGTTTCACAACGAATTATTTTTCTTTAGTATATTTAGAACATTTACAAAATGTTCTAAATATGGCTGGCTTTCAATTTTATTTTTAAAAAGTTGTACTAATTTGTAATCATAGCCAGCTGTTATCGTTTCCTTCCATACCACAAACTACTGGTAACTACCTAAGTGAAACGATGGAAATCCAGGAATAACTGTTGAGTGGACATAAACCCAAGGCAAAAATTACAAACTTCAAGTGTTTTGTTAATAATTATGTTTTCAATTTGTATTTCTTTCAATTACTTTAAAAGGTATAAAGTCTTGTAAAAAGTCATCAACATTAATTTATATTAAATATATTTAGTATCAGATCAACGATGTACACATCAATCAATCTAGGTAACTATAGCGTACAGAATATAATTAAATCCTTCGAATACAATCATGACCAAATGTAGACAAAGAAAAATAAATATTTTGTTATAACTAAACGACGCCGACGACGTGAGTAAGTTATTCGGCAAACACTGGTAAGGCTCCACTGGAGTGATGCAACGGCCTTACAGAAAACCACTGTTGAGAAAATTGTTCTTTGCTTTTCACCAAAAGAGTAAGGTTACCAGAGGCTCTATCCTCTCCCCACTAATTCTAGGGTTCACTTACGGAGCATCAACACACTTGTACTCGTATCTCTGACAGGCCTGTTGCTCTAGTGGTTAGTGACCCTGACTGCTAAGCCAGGGTTCGATTCCAATTAGGACAAATATTTGTGTGATGAGCACGATCATTCGTTCTGTATCTAGGTGTAATTTATCTATAATATGTATGTATTTAGAGATATACAAGTATGTATATCAGCAGTCTGGTTACCATAGTATAGGCTCTGCCTAGTTTGTGATGAGACAGCCGTGTGTGAGATGTATGAGGTTAATCTTATATTATTATTATCTCTTGAGTTGAGGGTATCCATGTGTGAACACTGTGTTTGCCCACTGTGCAATATAAAATATCTTAAATATCTTAACTTCACTACAGAACCAATAATTTTATTATACTAACCGGGACACAAACTTCGTTTTGTGTAGTATTTCTCAATAGTTTTAAATTTGCCGTGTATGCGTCCAGCATTGAGCAAAACTCTTGGTTGTCCTCCGCGTGATAATTTTCTACTATTGCTGATAATTGTGGGAACCAAAGCCTGAACACATTATACCTAGAAAGGCAATGACCCTGTATAAGTTGGTCGTTTCGACTGAATAATTTATTATCTTGTTTAATTTAGGTAGTGAGATGCTACTGTGTAATTTGTGCTTGTGTAATTCTTATTTTTATATTAAGTATATCACGTACAAGTCGCTTAATACAAAATCAAAGGCTAGGAAAGTGCTTTGTTTTAATGTATGTAGTGCTAACCTGTTAGTAATTATTGCATTGACTAATAGATGTTTCCTGTTTTTTTGTTAACAATTGTTTTTGTTTATCTCTATTGACTTTCCGTCAATAGAGATAAACAAAAAAAAACTTACGGATAGGCATTTACAAAACTATGATTAAAATACCTTTACTTTTGATTTTTAAATGACTCCATGCAATACAAGAATCTGTTGCTGGTATTTTAAGTAGCGACCGTAACTAGTTGGTTACAGGCATCCGATACAATATTTCAATTAATTCAGTTCACCACAAATTTTTGTTTTGCAATTGAGTCGATACTTTACAATTATTCTAGTAGCAATTCTTGATAAAATTTATTCTTTGTCTGGGTGTAATTTATCTATTGTCCGTGTAGTGACGGATTAAGAATACGGAATGTCACTACCCCAATTAATCCCGTTTGTGTTGTAAGAGCCTTCTCTTCAAACCCAATACCAGCGTGGTATACGAATGTCTGAATACGGAATGTCACCACCCCTATTCATCCCGTGGGTGTCCTAAAAGCCGACTAAGGGACCAAACTACAAGACAACAGCACTGCAAAGAGAAGGAAAACTTGAAATAAAAACCCTATGCCAACCCGTCTGGACAGCGTGGTATAGTAGGCTAAAACCTTTCTAATGAGAGGCCTATGTCCAGCAGTGGACCATTAAAGGCTGTTGATGTGATGTGTGTGATGATAATGTACTCTATGGTTAAAGATATACTTACATGCACATAATAATGAAATTTGTGGTGCATATCAAACAAAGATAGGTAAGTAAGGGTTTTCTGAACATTGGCTTAATGTTGAGCAGTCCAACCACCACTTGATGTTTAAAGCTATCTTTCACTTGGTTCTCAGGGTCTTCATCCGAAGCAGATTCTGATATATTCTTCCAAATATCTAAAAACTGTTCAAAAATGTTTTACAAGAAAAAAGAGACTGTTTGACTTAAACAATTCTAATAATATACACCTTTTTTTTCTTTTTTTTTTTCCGTGCGGAAATCCCCTCGGATACCACCGGTCGGTGGCATGTCGGACACGAACCGACTAAAACCGCAAGCCGTCGCCGGGTTCTAATAGCCGGGGAACCAGGTATACCCTAGAAAGGAAGTCCCTGGTGCTAATAATATACACCTGGTATTTTTGGGTACTTTTGGGTATAATTTCACTGTTTACAATTACTAAGAGATGGCTGCATTTCTTAAATTAATTGGCAACAAACAAATAAAACTAAATAAACTAGATTTTAAAAACCCCTAATAAAGTTGTAATAATTACTAGTATTCTATTTACTAAATTACACGAAACTTCGAATGCTAATAATTGAAATAAGTTCACGTCGACAATGGTCTAAGTGAGATTTGAACACTCAACATTTTAATCGCAACACCACATAAGATAATACCACTAATTTAAAAATTAAAATCCCCGGACACAAAAAAACTTTAAAAATAACAACTGCTTATTGAGACTGTTCTAATAAGCCCAAACATGGTATAGAAGCTGAGGAGTTGGTGATCCCGCAGACTAATTGATGCAGCAGCAAGATCTAGGTCACCATATCGTAGAAATACCATCAAAGTAACAGTATACCATATTTCAGTACATCAGTACATCATACCAGTACATCAATCGGACCTGTGGACTTTAGTGAGATTCCTTCATCACCTAGGAGGTGAGCTTATGATCTTCAAAATTTATAGCTAAGGACCATCCCGATCACAGCGGCTTTCCAACAAAAAAATCCACATCGAAATTGGTCCATCAGTTTGGGAGCTATGATGCCACGTACAGACAGACAGATACGTAGATACACAGGTTAAACTTATAACACCCCTCGTTTTCCGTCAGGGGTTAAAAATAGGCTTCTGCTTACCACGGCTTCACAGAAAACCGGTGTTAAGCAATTCTTTTGTTGCCTTTCACTGAGTGAGTGAGGTTACCGGATCCCAAATCGGGGGGATTTCCCGCTGGCTCGAGCGGGAGGGACTCCAAGGGCAGCAACAAACTTGTGACTTTTGAGTTGCAGGTGTCCATGGGCGGCGGTAGTTGCTTACCACCATGTGACCCGTCTGCTCGTTTGCCCCCTTATACCATAAAAAAATTCGTTAATAATTAGTTTAAATAATCACTGCACTTACCGGATAAGTATTAGCTGGCTTCCTAGTATTTTGCACATATATTTTGATTAAAATTTCTCTCGCTTCATCGTATTTCTTCTGTGTCACCAAATATTTAGGACTTTCTGGCACAAACGCCGCATACATTATACAGGCAGCTAGAGGAAACATTGACATGGCGTATAGATAAAAGTTCCAGGTGTTGAGGACTGAAATGAAAAGGCATAGTTTTACGCTACGATTTTTAGGGGATTAACCTAACTCCTCGAAGTCAATACTGAAAAGGCATGTCGGAATCGGAGCGACTTAAATCTTACGACGCTCCCTAACAGGAGCCTGCCTTCAAGCCAGTATACCATAAGAAAGATGCCTATACAAAGACTGTCAAAAAATTACAAGACATCGATAAACCTCAGGAGAGGATTTTCTAACTTTATCGTGTTATGTGTCATCATCATCAGCATATCAACAGCCTATAATAGTCCACTGCTGAACATAGGCCTCTCCTTAGAAAGAAGGTTTTGGCCTACTATACCACGTTGGCCAGACGGGTTGGTATAGGGTTTGTTTCAAGCTCGAGGTCGGCTCGGTCCTCGTACCGGTCCGGGCCCAGAAGAGGTACCTGGGTCTGGTCCTAGACGGTAGGTGGCTCTTCAACGAGCACTTCCGACAGCTTGGTCCGAAGCTGGTTGACACTGCTTCCGCCCTAGGGCGACTTTTGCCCAAATTGGGCGGGGCCAGTGTTCCAACGAGGCGGCTGTACGCAGGGGTTGTCCGGTCCATGGCGCTGTATGGTGTACCGGTGTGGGTGGCGGCTCTGACCGCCCCGAAAAGGCCGCGCCTCTGGCGCCCCCAGAGGATATTGGCGGTCAGAGCCATACGCGGATACCGCACGGTGTCCACCGAGGCGGCCTGCGCCTTGGCCGGAACACCCCCGTGGGATTTGGAGGCGGAAGTGCTCGCCGAAGTGAATCGGCGAGTGGCTGACTCCGCCCGAAGACGTGCGCGCTATTTATTTAATTATAGTTGAGGATTTCAAATTAATTTAGCGTAATCTTTAAACCTCCTTTATAAGGAGAGGCCTATGTCCAGCAGTGGACTATTAAAGGCTGTTGATGTGTGATGTGTGATGTTAATCTTAGTAGAACAAGTTTGTGCCTATTGTAAGATATACATTTATGAAAGACATACGAAATTGTATAGAGGCATATGGATAGCAGCATGTTTTATATATCTAAGAGTATGAGCTTATAGACATATACACCATGTTTCTATTACAATTATAAGAAAAGAATATATTTTTATGGAAGAGGGGTCAAACGAACAGACGGAACGGACCTGAAGGAAAGCGATGAACGACTGCAATTTCGGAGCCAAAAGCGCGTTGCTGGCCTTTGAGGAAGGAGTACGCTCTTTTCTTAAAGGTATTTGCTCGGAATCACAGAAGTAAGTCGTTTAAGCACAAATATACACAACTTCATCATTCTTACAGTAAAAGATTCATAGGTCCTTACCAAATTTTCCGTCAAAGAAAGAAACTCTCCAGTCATTAGTGAGAATTGCCCACGAAAGGAGTGCGATTACTATTTGTGCAATCACCGTGAATGACGTTTGAAACAATATCACTCGGTCCCTTACGTTGTTACAACAGAACTCTGCTGTTAAAGCCATAAATGAACTGAAGGCTGCTCCGAATCTGTAAAGTTTTTATTTTTGTACGAATTGTCAATAATTATATTAAGTATCTTAATAATAGGTACTTAGAGTAGTTCAGTTTCAGTCCCTCCCCCCAGAATCTGGGAAGGTGTTGGTTGAATATTTTAACATAGATGATATCAAAATATAAGTTAATCACGGTAAAATTTTAACAACTGACGACCGCTACTTAGATAAGTTATTTCTGGTAGTTTATAAATATTAAAAATAATTATAAACTACCAGAATTTAGTACTCTTTTGGGGTTATGAAGAGATTAAGTTAGGTTTAGAGACTACATTGATGTGCTAGATTTCCAAATTTTGATTTCTATCTAGCAAAAGGAACAAATTTTTTCAGAAAGTTCTTTTTCCTCCGAGCCTTTTCCCGAAACCAGGTTGGGTCGGCTTTAAGTGTACTACGATACGTCTGAACTTCGATTCGAATTTTCAGATTTAGTATCTGAGATGAGATGGCGCAATGTCAGCACTGCGCAGTCGACTGGGACTCCGCCCAGCACAGTGAGGAGAGCTGGGGCGCTGTGGTTTCTTTCTGTGAAACTGTAACCCCGCGCCCGCGGCTTCCCCGGGATAGGGCTTTACTAGGCACGGCGTCGATTCGGGGGGGACCTATAATAAAATAACATGGTCCGGGTCCTCTTGGAGTAGGGCACCTGAGTCCGGCCGTCGGGGTGGTTTTTAGTTGAAACACCACACACTCCTGGCTCCTACATCGATTCGAAGGGATTTTCCACGTCATCAACAAAAAAAAAGAAAGGTTTAGTGTTACTCACAAAAGTCCTTCAAAAAACTTTGCTGTTACAAGAACCTCGAATGTTTGGCTTGATGCTGCTACTAAATTGAACACGAAAACGCCTGAGAAGCCAAATACTAAAAAAAATTTCCTTCCAATTGCGCCTGTTAAGAGTCCTGATACTATTGATGAGAACAACATTCCTAAAAGATCAAACAGACGTGGAATTTTTATTTGATAAAGTATTGTCAACAGATGGCAAATGAAATACCTGGTCAAGTATACATGTGTGTGTTATTTCGGTAGCTATATAATTGTACGTTTACATGTGTGTGAATTGTAGGTCACTTGTTGCTTGACTCATACGTTTCAAAACCATGAATATTTCAAAACCATTCCGCGTTATCACATTCAATTTCTCTAGTAATTTCATTAAAATCTCTGGTACTTCGTACAACTGGCCAGATATTTCGTTTGCCATGTGTACATATGTATATTAAATAGTGAAACACATGCTTTTTGCCACGTTAGAATCACCGTAGATACCATCCTTAACCCTTGATATAATGGTACCACATAGTGAAAATTAGAATGTGCTAAATTTTAATTGTTTGTTTTTAATAAAATCTATTAAAGATTACTTGAATTATTTTTCCACCCCATCAACAAAAAAAAAAAAAAGAGGTCACATAGCTACAAAAAATATTACTGAACAGTCACTAATGAGATCCTATCCTCTCAAGTATTGCGAGTTTTATTGTCACACAGCACAAAAATGTATGTGTTCTACCCACGAATATCGTCAACAGATTCACACAGGCACACAGGATAATATCATCTGTTTCTTATATAGATTGAAAGTCAATAAACGATACCAAATAATTGATAACAAATTTTATGAAATAAAGTTATTAAAGTCGATTTTGGATAACTTAAAAGTAAGAAATACCGACCCGTATAAGGCATTGCATTCAACACTCCTTTTCTTAATAATGTCATTTGCAAGTCGCATTCTGCAACTGGAAGCAGGTAGCCTGTGGAAGTGCTGATAAAAACTCCTGCAATATTTCCAACAAAAGCTATCAGCAACAACTTTATGTGGAAGTACCCGAAAGTACATGCCTTCAATGCTGCATCAACTTGTTTTATCGGTGTCAACTTGGTGTCTTGGTTACCTAAAATGAAAAATGGACTAAAAAAGTTTTGTTTCAGCGGTCACCTCGCCTCTTCCTACTGTGCTGAGTACATGACACATGGGACAACACTGTGTTATCCACAAATTGTTGTTCTGAGTCTGGGTATTCTTTGTGTCAATTTCATAAATGTTCGTAAAGTTCCCTGCGACACGGGATACATTACTACGGGAGTTTTCTTTTTAAAAAGAAAAAGAAAGAATGTAAATAAATATTCCCCGTCACTTGGATAATTGTCACTCGTCCACTATTTACCGTATTCTAACATGTTTTTTAAAAGAAACCATTATTTTCAGTTTAATAAATTATTTTGGCAATTTTCTTAAAATTAGTTAAAAAGAAGTTGTGCAACTGATAATACCACTCCAGCCTCTCAAGGACATAATAAATATCTAGTATTTACCAGAAATATCTCCTACAAAAACTTAAATCAAGTAATACTTAATTTCAAGGTAAAAATAATTTAAACTTTCTTGAATTAGGGCACACGAGCGAGCAATCAAGCACATATCTACATTACTGTTGCAATCGAAAGGATCATTATATCTGTGACGAAAATATTTGATATGAAAAACAATTGTAAAATATTAGATAAGGTAAATAATATTAAACCCCACTTACTAAAAAGAACTAATTCACTTACTTGGCACTTGTGCCGTCGAATGTAATTCACTCATTTTATATATTTTCTACTACGATGATAAATACCATCTCGTTATAAATGTCAAACTAACTAAAATAGTATGTACAATGAATGAGATAGCAATCTTTATCTTATATTTACTATAACACATTCATAGTTTGTAATAAATTTACATTGTGAATGTAAATCTGTGCTAACCTTGTCGGTGTTTAACATTAAGGATGACCCTTCTACACGCAAGATAAATGGCACTACTGTGTATAGTCAAGAGATCTTCGTAGACTGGTTACTGAAAGAACCAGCTGTAAATGAAAGATAAGAAACAAAAATTAATGTACATCTATCGTCATAAGTAGAGGGTCCATAAATATTGTAAAAGTTTAAAAAAAAAAACAGTGGCACTCCGGGAGTGCCAACAGAAGTGAAAATTTGAGTTTTTTTTTTGTGCCGAAATGAATACATATATATGTTGTATATATATAGGTTTTTATTATATATAGTTATATTATCAATGTATTTTAACCCAAAATCAACTCTCGTGTAAACAGGGCCAATACATGTAGACACTTATATACAAGGGATCGGTAACGGTAAAGGTGTCGCGAGATCAATGGTTTTTCAAATCTCAAAAATACATTATTTTGTTTGTTGTTCAAAATGTCCAACGCTCCTAAAGAAGTTTTAACTTCTAAAAAAAAACCTTTATTTTTTGGTTTCCACGGTTTCCACCATGCAAATATAAAAAAATATGCATGTATATTTTTTAAGGAATAGGGGCAAACGCTGGAAATATAAAAAAAATTGCATGTATATTTTTTAAGGAATAGGGGCAAACGCTAGCGTCTCACCTGATGGTAAATGACTACCGGGGTGCATGGACACACACACGCGGACGTAATCTCCTTGCGGCTGGCCGTTATGGCGGGTGGAGGGAAACGGTTTTCTGTAAGGCTGTGCCAGCCAAAACACTGATATGGAATTAGAGAAGGTGAAGAAAATGACGACAAAGATGATGTTTACTACTGGCATGTGTAAAGATAAGCTCTTTTTTGTGAAATACATATATTTATATAAATTTATATAGATTATATACTCAGATCCTTATCCCTTAAGGGATGAACAGGGACGTATTAACTCGGTGGCGCAGTAGTAGCGTATTCGATTGCTGTGCTGAGGTCTCTGGTTCGATTCTCGGGTCGGACCAAATGTTTTAATGATCTGCAAATATTAGTTTCGGGGTTTGGATGTTTCCTTTGTATAATATGTATGTTTTTACAAAAAAAAAGTAGTCTATTAGTCAATCTAGCTTTCATAGTATAATATATCTAGTTTCAAACTAAGCAACTCTGCTTAGTTTGTAACTAGATGGCGTTGTGTCAGATGTCCGAAAATATACAATTTTTTGACGACTACAATTTTATTGCCACTTGCGTAGTAGGGGGCTAGGCCATTGCCATCCTACTGTCATATATATTACAAAATAGACCTATTATAGACTTATTATTACGTAATATTCATAAAGCATAGTACTATAATTTGTAATAGAAATTATAGTCATACTACTGTGCGTTGTATACTTAGTGCTTTAAGTGTGGACAATATTTTGATAAAAGTATGAACGTCATTCATAAAGTACGTAATAGTTGGTTTCTGCGTCTTTTTAAAAACGCAAGTGGTCTGATAAAAGTCAGAATTGTAATTATCCTGTTTTTAACGGCATAAGGTTGTCCGTTTTTTGACGGATTAAGAATACGGAGCGTCACGTCTATTCATCCCGTGGGTGTCGTAGGAATCGAGCCGTAAGGAAGCAAACTATGCAAGACAACAGCAGTTCAAAGAGGGGACCTTAAAACAACCCCATTTTTTTTTTTTTAACGTTTGGAAATCCCCTTGGACTGTCACCCCACCGGGGTTTGCGGAGGGGTGGTATGTCAGACTCGGACCGACTAAAACCACACGGTGTGCCACTCTGCGCCTGTAATAGGAGGGATCCGGAAACAGCTGTTGTTAACCTTAAAACAACCCCTGTAACAACCGGTCTGGTATGGCGTGGTATAGTAAAGCATAGCCTCCTTTCTAAGAAGAAGCTTGTGTCCAGTAGTGGACTATTAAAGGTGATGATGATTGTGATGGTGGTGATGATAAATAGAAAAAATCTATATATAATAACAGTTAAAGTCATGAAGTAAATCAGACAATCAAAACGGTCGATATTTGACCGGAAAGCGATCACGAGTTCTATTTAGTCCACATTCGAATTCCCGTGGTAGTCAAGGTCTAAACCATGTATGACACGATGTAGTACCTACTTTAAATTTCACTTGTTACGTAAACATTGTTATTATTCCCGCGGAATTAAAGCTTTGCGTTTCCATGAAAGTGTACCTGCCATGTCGAGGAAAAAACGGATTGTACATAACTTTTTACATTGAATAAATTTTTCTCATGTCGTAATGACGCAATTTTCAGCTCCATGAAAGGTTATTGTTATTGTACTGCTTTATAAGTGTTAACTTACACTACATTTAGTCGACTAGATATTCGTAGATTCGATACCGATACTCGGTAAATGACAACTTGCATTAGTACTAAGATAATATTTTTACATTCACTCGTTCGTTCTTGAGAGATTATAGAAAACGGTAATGCGGGTTGGTAGTAGATATTCGTTTTTGAAGAGACACTTGTGATATAACCGTTGTACTGCGCTGATTAAATCTCTTAAAAGTTACATGATCTCTTGTTATTTAAGTGAACCTGACCTGACGTCTTCATAAGTAACTGAACCCGATTTCATAGTCAAGTTTAAGTGGAGATATGAAAAAGCTATTAATCTATCAGTTTTTATTAATGAGTACCGCGATTATTGGTATGATAAAATAATCATAAATCTGTGTATATGTTTACTTTTAACTAGCCATTCCCGAAGTTTCTTTTATTTTTATTGTCACTGTACCACTGCTAAGGGACCTTTATCTTTCTACATTAATACTCTATCTAATACAAAACTGAATATTCATTCGTGCATTCATTCATACCTGGCTCATAGTTTCGGGGATAATCGTCTGTAACCAAACAAACAATCAAACAAAAAACCCTTGTCTTCATTATATTCGTATAGATTGTCATTATTTCTCCAGGAGCCGAATACCTGGTAGACGTTTTTATGACATAGGCTATAACCGAGGAAACTGTTCATTCCATAGCTAGTGACTACCGCCACCCATAAACTCCTAAAACTCAAGGGTTACAAGTGCGTTGCCGCCTAAAAGTCTCTCTCACCTAGAATCAGGCGAAGTTTGGGCCCCGATAAGTTTAAAGTAATGAAAAAATGCCTTAGCATCAGTTTTCTGTGAGGCCGTGGTATCTCACGAGTCGCGCGAACCCATTTGTGCCGAAGCATGGCTCCTCACGGCCAAAACCTGACGATTAAAAAACTTGTTGCTTAAAAAAGAACCTATCAAATAAAACTAAAGATATTACGAGGTATTTAAAAAAGATGGGTTCTCTCTTTTAATAAAAATGCAAATTTTTATAAAACTGAATAACGAACCATTTTCAAAGATTCCAAGTCATTTTAATTCCAGATTTTTGTATTAAATTTTAAGTTAAATAAAAATGCAGTTTCTTTTCCTTTAATAATAAGTAAATTTAATAAAAACTATGACTATAAACAGAAACACAATGAACGTGGTACTATTTTTACATTTGGTACAATACCATATTACTTACTTATTATAATACAATATTTCTATATTTGGTATTTAAAAATAAAATGAGAAGTCTTGATTCACCCTGAAATAATGATTTTTCGTCGTTTTCGTAGTCTAATACAGAAATCTTTTTGTTTTTTAATGTTGTCATCTTTTAGATTAAGCTTTAATGATTTTTCTCGCTCAGTAAAACATAAACGGAGTTTTTTTAAAAGCCGATAGCGCAAAGCTATTGTGGGTTACAGTTAGTGCAAACACATTTATATTAATTACGAGGGTTATGGTTGTCAGACTTTTAAGTTAACACATGAATACTTTTTTTGCTACTTGAAAAAAGTTGCTTCCTAATAGGATTTTATAAATTTGGCGACTATTTCTCTAAAAGTAACAGAGCTAACTTGACCATGACATTTTTATATAATTCTGTTTTAGTATATATTTTTTTAATTTTACCACATATATATGCCAAAACAAAATTAAATCTTTCTAGCTCGAATAGTCCCTAAACTAAGTAGGGCTGGAAAGACACACAGATACATGGATAAAGCAAAACCATAAGGGATTCTTAACAATCAGACAGAAACAAATAGCAATTACCCTTTTTAATTATGTTTATAGACGGAAATTAAGTCAATCATGTAACAAATATTAAATACATTTTAGGTCCCTGTGGTATTGACCAGGTTGCACTAGCAATGTTCACAATCTGAGTATAAACAAAACTGTATATATTATTACATAGCATGGAACGCGAAAGTGTAAAAATTAGCTTTACATTTTAAGTCTCCTAAGCTCTTATTTGTCAATATATACGTAATGTACTAGTCAATTATAGACTAGTTAACCTAGTTTGTTATAGTTGTACATGTTAGTGATTAAATTTACTATTGATATGAATCAATGTGAATACCCTCATGCCAATTAATTATTAATTCAGGTAAAAGGTTCGTTTGCAGCGCCTAAAACCGTCATTAGCATGATTGTGAGTGCATGTGTAGGCTTATCGAATTTGTAGGTGACACTTTGAGCGAGTTTGGGTGATAACGAAAAGCATGCCGATTCTCTAGTTTTAACAGGCTGAGTCTGAAAGCAAAGGTATACCGTATAGCTGCTAATTTACGTGGTAGCAAATGACGTAAAAACGGCACACAAAATTATAATTTGTTTTTACATGAATCAATCCAGGTTTTAAAAAGCTAAACTGTGAATTTGAGCGCAATTCATTTGACTAGTAATGAATTGTTTTAATTAATTATAAATGAGAAAAAATAAAGATCCTTATGACTCTTCTTTTCTTAGAGTTATACTCTGATAGCCTTCA